GATCCAGGGAGATACCTCTGCTGCGCCACACCCGGTGAAGGGGAAATGGCTGAGACTGACTCATTCCACCCTGCTCCATAAGAGCCTTTGGATGCCAAGGAGTGAGGAGATGAACCCCTGGAAATGCAGTGTGTTGATCCCATTGCCTCTGCTTGCATGCTTCTCAGACTGGGGAGCTCACCACTCCCCATGACACCTCATTTCCTCTTTAGGGACATGGTTGTGCAAAGGTCTCCAGAATCGTGTCTTACAACCCCTCTCTCTCTCAAGGAGGAATGCAGGCCCAGAGATGTCGAGGCATTCATCCAAGGTCACACCAGTACTCAGTGCCAAGGCAGAACTAGAACCCAGGGCTCTGACCCCCAGACAAGGCTCCGTCCACTTCTTTGCTATAGAGTCTCAGACAAGGGAGGGATCTCTGCTGGCTGAGAGGTCAGGGAAGGCTTCTCAGAGGAGGTGACACTTGAGACAATCCCTGAAGGATGGTGCTAGGATGTGGTTTGAGGTCCAAGTTCTCTTTGTCCTGCCCACCATGTCTGTGCTGTTCCCCCCTAATTCCACACTGAGCATGGCAAACAAACAGGGAATAGAAGTTTGTTGAATGAATGAATGAAGAAATGGGCAGGAAGGCCATTCACAGGAGGTGAAAGGGCAATGGTATAGGTCCCTTCAGAGCCAAGGGCATGTTGTGGGGTCCTTTAGACCCCAGAGGTCACCATGTGCAGGAAGGGACAAGCTCCCCCTGCCCCAGATTCGGTGTTCCTCACTGCTCCTCTGCACGCGCCTTGGGTAGGACCCAAACCACTTCGTGCCGCGAAGCGTTGTTTGTCCTCTGCAGCTGGCTGGAGGCTCCGTCTCTGTTTACTCTGTCTTCCTCCTCCGTGTTTTGTAAACTGAGCTGGTTGGGAAGACAGGTCACGGCACACGCCTGCATGTGGCGGAGGCCCCTGGCCAGCTGCCCTCTCCTCCCACCCCACCGGGGCCAGCACGACCCCCGGGCCACCATGGACCTTCAGGGAGCTGGAGAGTCTGCGGTAGAAAGACCAAACCCAAGCTGTTCCCGAGGAATTGCTTTTCTGGAAAACACACTCCCTCTGGACCCGCAGCCTTCCTTTCTTCCGTGGTCTTTGGTTTTGTTCTCTGCCAAGGATTTCTATTGCCTCTCATTATAAATGATTTACATGCTCATGATAGAAACCCTGGAACATCCAGGAAAGAGGGAGGAGGACATCTTTATAGTCACGCAAAGGCAGCTGCTCTTCAGGTTTTGGTGTGCGCCACCCCCCACACACATTTGCACGGGCTGGAGGTATGAGGTTTGGGTTTTTAAACATGTTCACAATCGGACAATGTTAGCACACAGCTCAGTCTTCCACACGGGTTGGGGGCAGCTGTAGGATGATAAAAAGGAGCGGGTGGCCTGGGTATCAGGATTCCATGACATGAGTTCCAGGTTGACCTCTGCCACTAACTGGCTGTGTGTCCTAGGAGAATGTCCACCATCTCTGGGCCTCCACGTCCATTTCTGTAACATGAGGGGGTCTGATGAAATCGTATCTAAGAGCCCTTCCCACCCTGTCATCCCAGGATCCTGTCAGGCCCACCCGGGAAGAGTTTCCAAGGATGGAGGAAGAAGGAAAGGGGGATATGCCTGCTACAAGAATCCCAGGCTTCAATTAAGACAGCCCCTCGAGCAGTGTTCCCCAAGGACGCTGGACCCCTGAGTGCCTCCAGACCCCCGGTCACCTCTGGCTGCGACCAGACCCCTAAAATGCCCCTCCAGCAGGAATCAGGCAAGGCCTTGCTCTTCTTGTAGGCTGTCATGTACTGAGTGGCTTTAGACATCTAATCACCTCTCTGAGCCTCAGTTTCCCTCTCTGTAAGAGAGGTTGGGGCTAGGTTGATCACTTTCTTTTTAAGCAGCACAACTCTTTCCTCCAATAAAACTGTGTGTAGAAACCTCATATAGAGCAGAGAGAGAGGGAACCCTGACGTTTACAGAGCAGCAAAAGTGTGTCAAGCATTGTTGTAAGGGCGCCCCATTCTTTGACCCCACAGAGTGGGTGCTCCTAGCATCCCCATTTGACAGATGAAGACACCGAGGCCCTGAGGGCTTCCGCTGCCTGTCCAAGGTTCTACACAGCTAGCAAGGGTTAGAGCTGGGATTCTGACCTGGTTGAATCTCAGTCATGAAACCCCAGGTCCCTTGTCATTCCAACCCCTTGGGGACGTCCCCAGACACCCAGCCCACGCTCTTCCACATTCACACACGCGTGTGCACGCACACGCACACACACTGTGGCTGCTCCTCAACAGCCTGCCTTCCAAGCTCTGCTCAAGCCCAAACCAAAGGTAGCTGGTGAGACTGAGAGACTCGGAGGTTGTCTGCCCCAGAAAACCCACGTCACCAAAGCATCCCAGTGACCAAGGCTGGGGTCGGGGGGTGGCGATTCTCAGCCCCGCATTGACCCCGCAGCCGCCCCCAGGCAGCCGGCCAAGCCCTGGTCTGAGTGGCAGCCACCTGCACGGAGCTTCTTCCCTTGAGCCATGAAGCCGCAGCACCCGCTCCGGGCTGGGGACAGCCAGGCCTACAAGCTCAGTCAAGCCCTCAACTGCCCCGTGGGGGTGTCCTGCACCAGGAGCTTCGCCAGGTGGGAGAGGATCTGGTGCAAGAGAAAAGACTTGGGATCTGGACTCGGCCAGACCCGGGTTTGAATCCCGGCCTTGCCCCTGGCTAGCTGTGTGAGCCTGAACCATCTCGGGCTGCTTTGCCAAGCCTCTGCCTTCTTATCTGTAACATGGGAATAAGGATGCATCCACCACAGTGTGTTCTTAAGGATGTAGCGGGTGGGGCACACAGTGAGTCCTTTCATTTCCCATTGCTCTGCCCTGCAAATGTGTCTGCTGGGGAGAAAAAGAGAACTAACGATCGTCTTGCCCTCTATTGGTCAATCAACGATCATTTTTGGGGCACGTACTAGGGGTTAGGCACGCAACAGAAAAAGGAAGAAGTAACACATGCGCCTCTGATAGACGTGCTCTAACTAAACATCACGGAGAAGGGGGGCGGGCAGAGGAGGAAGAGAACGCCACTGCTCGAGGGTGTTCAATCGGAGAAGGAGACATGTATTAAGAGGTTTATTGGGAGGAACTGGCTTATGTGATTATAAGGGGCTGGCTAGGCAAGTACAAAATCCATCCAGAAGGCTGTCAGGAAGGGCAGGCTGGAACTCTCAGGCATGGACTCAAACTGCTGTTTACAAGTGGAATTTCTTCTTCTTCTTCTGGGAAACCCTCTGCTCTTAAGGCCTGTCATCTGATTGAATCAGGCCCACCCAGATGGTCCAGGATAATCTCTCTCGCTTAAATTCAACAGATTATCGACTTGAATCTCATCTGCAGTAACACCTAGAGCAGCGCTGGATTGAATAACTGGGGGCTGTAGCTTCGCCAAGATACACATAAAACTGACCGTCGCAGGGCCCTCTGGAGGCTCCACAGAAGGGTCATAACTGAGCCGGTCTCGACTTCAACAGGCAGAAGGGCGGGAGGGCGCTCAGGCAGAGGGGCAGCCCCAGCAAAGGCGGAGGTGATGGGAACGTAAGAAACATCCTTGGGGGACGGGAGTGGTCACCGTGGCTCGGACACCATGAAAATATATTCCATGCAAAGGGATTGGAATAAAGGAATGGTTAATGATACAACAATGAACAAATACGATGCATTTTTTAAAGGTGTTATGAAAAACCATGGAACAAGAGGGAAAAATTCCCTTGATGTGATATTCCATTTAAAACCAGAGATGAAAGGATGGTTGAATGTGGTTACGAAAAGAGCTGTGTTTAGGGATGGAACTTGGAGATTTAGTATTTTTAAATGCTCTTTGCTGTGGTTATATAACTGAATTCAGTGGGTCGTCTCCTGGTGAGTGTGGAGCCGAGAGGCACAAGGAAAGAATAAGTAGGCGGAGAAAGGTTTATCACCTGCACAGGCAATGGAGAACACTGGGGCTCTCTCCCAAAGCGGTGTCTCCCCGGGAAGGGGTGTGGGGGCCCGTCTATCGTTAGATCAGAAGGAAGTCCATGAATGCGTAGTCAAGAAAAAGGCGGGAGATTGGGTCTTACTGTGTAACCACGTATGTCCCGTGGCACATGTGTGGCACATATGCATACTACTACATACAGCACATGATCGGAAAATGGCAGCTTGGTCCCTCCCAGAGGAGGAGAATTTAAGATCGCAACGAGATTATAACGGGGACGGAAGGTCAGGCTCTTCCTCAAAATTTCTGTCTGCAAAACACTCAACAGAGGATGTTAGTTTTTATCAGCTCCTCGGTACCACTTTCTTTGCCTGGCTCCCTGGCTACAGTTACATTATCTTTTAAAACAAAAAGGGAGATGTTATTTTTTTAAGGGGAAGGAGTGGTGTTAAGACGTCAGATGAAATCGCTCATTCATTAAAACCACAAAACCCAAGGTGGGGAAAAGAAACAAAACACGCAGGACAGAATCCCCTGCCCATAATAAACAGGAAAGAGATAAAGACTAAGACAAGCGCCCGGGGTGTCTGAGGGTGGCAGAGTCAGGCAGGCGTGCCTTGTCCCCTGCAGAGAGCAGCATGGGGGAGGCACTAGGCTTCTCAGGCTCCCTGAGTCCCCCCATAAATATTTCCAAAACATCCCAGGCCCAGAAAGTGTCCAGATGCCGGAAGGGCCCCATGCACGTGTCTGGGCTGAACTGGAGCTTCCGACCCAGCTCTCTCCAGGAGTTCCTGGAATGGAGGTTGGCTTCCAAGAACCCCATCCTTCCCCCGAGACAGCTTTGGCCTTGTACATGGCTCCTTGGGAACTCTGGGCTCAGGCCACACTTCTCCCTGCCATTGAGGCTGGTAGGCATGAGGCCCCATTGCCCGTCCTGATCCCCAGTATTTACTGTGACCTGAAGTTTACCTTCGTGACTGTCTAGAAACAGCATCCTTACTTGGTAATCATGTCAATCAGATTTTAAAGGGAACATTTATTCTGGAGAGGGGTCCGGGAAAGGGTTCTGGGCTGGGGTCCAGGAGACCTCGGTCTTTCCATCTCTGTCCTTGACTCCATCTTGCTGGTGGTCTGAGAGATTGCACTTACCTATGGGGCAAAAGTTTTTCAAGAGACTAGATGCTAAGATGCACACGATATAGTCGCAGGCACAGAGGAGGGTGGAAAGAGCCAACGAGGCAGGTCCTCCCATGAGGAGACGCAATATAATGGGACAGATGTGCCCACACACACACACACACACACACACACACACAAGCGGCTGTTACTGAGGGAGGGGATACGAAGGAGAGTACCCACCCTCCGCAGAGGACAGAACTGCACAGTCTCAGGGGTCCCCCTGGATTGGCAGGCAGGTGATGTCCCAGTGACAGCTGGTCTCTCCATCCAGCCGTGGAATCAGCGTCTGGAACCCTGAGCTGGGTCTGCGAGCTGGACAGCAGGCCACGTGGAAGGGACTCCTCCTAACCCCACATGCCGTGGTGTGGCTGAAGCAGACGGGCCCTCTCAGGGAGTGCAGGAAAAGCTGCGAGCATCCGGGAACACATCCACCACGTGCTTCCTGCATTTGACACGCAGTGACTCATGGCCTCCTCCCAGCCGCCCGAGGAGCTGGGGGCTATTTTTATACTAACCGTCATTTTACAGTCAAGAAAAACGAGGTTAAATAACAAGGTTGACGGAGAGGCACCAGTTCCAGGTCTGCTGCGGAGCCCACGAGCCCACCCACCAGGCCAGGCCTCCCGGTTTGTGACGCAAGTTTCCAGCTAGCTGTGTTAGCGTGTTTCCACATTCAGTCATTCCAAGGCACAGTTTCTGCCTTCTCTCTGTCACCTGTACAACTATTCCTTTAATACGGACTTACTTTTGAACCATAACTTCACATGGCCAACTTACATCGAAAATTAGTACCATTTGTCATTAAAAAAAAAAAAAAAACTGTAAAAATAAATACGATGGACTATAAACCACGCTATTGCAGTCTGGTTAGACTCGAGGGGCCAGCCCAGGCCCTGGGCCCGCTTCCTTTGTTGAAAGGGGGTTACAAATACCAGAGAGGTGTTGAAGACACACAGCACCCCCGGAGGCTTTCTCCACGGCCTGATCAGGAGTGATCATCCAGCGTCCCGTCCACAACCTTTGCTTTGGGACACACCTCCTGGCTGTAACACACAGCCACAAGATACTGGACTAGAGTTGGCTACGAGGTGGGGGGTTCCGCACTAGGCAAAACTTGGCCCTTGAGAAAGTGATGCTGTGCATTCTGCAGCGGCCACAGCCTCTGAGCCCCTCAGACATGGCTCCTGGGGACACCAAAATAGCCTCCCTCTGAGACTAAAGTGGAATTTGCTCCCGACAGCACCAAGGTCCAGTGTTTATGTGATTCAGCGAGGGGAAATATTTTTAAAGTAAGTCTTCTTGGACAGAATTCTGAAGGAGACGGAATCCGAGTGAATCAGAATGTTGGATGTTCCCTCCAAAGCATCAGTTTGAAAAATGAGGGAAAAGCCCAGAAGCAGAGTCCTCTCCTTTCCCATCCCGACTCGAGCCACGAGGATCAGAGTCTGGGGGGCATGGGTCCACCCACCTGGCTCCGTGGATGAGGAAATCGAGGCCCAGGGGGGATTCAGGGATTCCCCGAAGATCCCACACAGAGGCCCGCCCTGCTGCCCACCGCCACCCAGCCACCAATGTGCCCCCTCATCCAGCTCCCCCCACGTTCCCGTCAATAGTCCTCTGACATCCGAGTTTAGACTCCCAGGATACATTGGTCAGGGTCCCAGTAGGAAAGAGAGGGCCCACTCAAACTGGGTAATATGAAGAGAATTTTAACAGACGCTCTGTTTACAGAGATGTAGACAGCATGCAGGGCGTCACAAGGGCCTCAGAGCTAGCCCACAAGGGCCTGAGCCAGCCAGAGGAGGTGGCCGTTACCAGGATCACCAGCACAGCAGGTGGAAAGGACGCCTGGATAGGAGCATAGGAGCAGGGACACCAGCCCAGGCCCAGCCTGCCTGGGGGCGCCGGAGGGAGGGAGCCTGGAGCCAGCGCCGCATCCTCAGTCTCCTCGTCTCTCAGCCTCCCGCCATGGCATCCCCAGCGGGAAGCTGGATGGCAGAGAGTCCACGGTGCGGTTCCCATGGTCGCGGGGCTGCTGGGAGCATGACCTGGCACAGCCCTGGCATCCCACACTCGGGGGTCCTACCCCTGGGCACGCCTCCAAAGCACATGCAGAGAAACAGCCAGAATCAGCCAGAATTGCCTCAGACTCCCAGTTTCTCCCAGGTCCTGAAACCCTTGCTCTCTGGATACCACAGAGAGAAAAGCTCTCACCTTTGTTTTGAAAATGAGAGCAATGTTTACAGCCATTAGCAAGCAATTAGGATCGGACAGGGCTCATTCAGCCAGACCCAGGGACACCCAACCAGGTGGACTCATCACTGAGGCCGTGAGGAAACACTGTCACCTCCCCAGGTGATGGAGCTGGGAGGCCCTCAGTCACTTGTGTGGCTGTCGCTGTCCCGGTGGAAATAGGGGGCCCCGCGGGCAGGCTGAGGTCCCTGAACTGGACAATTTAGCTACAGAGGGAGCCCCTTGGGGACAGGGGCAGCTCGTCTTCACTCTTCCCCACTCATCCTCCAGCACTCGAAAAACTTACTCAATGATTGTTGTCGAGGAATGAGTGATTCGAGCACATGGCCCCTGACCCCCAGTTGAATTTTCTTTCCAGGCCCAGGCAGGGCCCCTCAGCAAGGCAATCCACTAGGTCTTTCTTCCCCTCCCCCGCCTCCCTCCTTGAAGGATCAGAAGGACTTTGCTGCTCATTGCATCTCTCACAAGTTCCAAATGCTGACCTCAGCTCCGCTTAGGGGTTTGGGCAAAGCTTTTCCGGGTGTTCATTGAGTATCTTGCGCTTCATTTCCTGCTTTCCACTCATCCTTTTTTTCCAATTGTGTTCAAATTTCCTGAACTGTCCGCTGCCTTATCTCCACCTCCCACAACTGAAGTAGGAAAACTGGGCTTCTAGAAGCCGGAGTGTCCTGTATCTGCACAGACTCCTCCAGCCGAGGAGTGGCTGAAAGCTGGGATGGGCAGATCCGTGGCTGCACCCAGGAACACACACACATGCCCGCCTGCACCCAGGTTTCACCCTCTTCCTAGACAGGAGCAAGAGGTCACATGGTCCTCCTGGAGAGAGATGGAGGTCTGGCACCGGAAGCGGGGGTTTAAGCCCCACCTCCAAGTCTTGCCAGCAAGGGCACTCGGACAAGTCACCCCACCCCGTTCCCCCTTTGCAAGGCAAGCATGCAGCCGATGCCTACCTCCCTGGGGGGGAGGGCAGGTAAATGTGAAGCGGGATAGAGAAAGGCTTTGTCAGCGCGAGCCCACCAGACAGAAGGCTTCCACTTTTCACCCGGCGCTCCGGCGAGGGCCCGACTCAGTGCGTGAGAGCACCTTGCAGCACTAACCGGCACAATGGATGGCAAATACTCCTCGGTACCCATCTCCCTCATTAGGCTCGAAGCCCCAGGAGATCCTGCATCTAATTTGCCTCCATTGCACCAGGGTGAGCCTGTCCTCCAGGCCAGACTGCTCCCCGGAGCTCTGGGCCCAAAGGCCACTTACACCCCAACCTGCAGGTCTCAAGAGCACCTCAGACTAACAGGTTCAAGGCTAAACACGGGGTCCTCTCTCTTTGTCAGCCCTACCCTTCTTCCTTGATAGGAAACTGCAGCAGCTGATGAGGGAGCATCCTTGACACCTTCCTCACCCCCTTCCCCATCCCCTCCATGTCCAATCTCGCACCAGGCATGTCTCCAAATACCTCTGGACTTCACCCTCTCCGGTCTGCATCATCCCATGCCTAGACTGATGGGCAGCACCTGCCAACAGGTCTCCCTGCTTCCAATCTGCTCTGCCACAGTCCCACCTCCCCCAGCAGCCACCAGGGCCTAACACACACCAAGCATCTTCCCGCCTCAGGGCCTTTGCACCTGCTGGTCCTTCCTCCCAGACACCCTCCTCGCCACCTCCATCCTTTCACCCACTTTACTCCCCCTTACCCTCAGGTCTCATAATAAATAGCCACTCACTTCCTGCCCTGGGCTGGTTTAGGACCCGGTGTTACGTGCGGTCATGGGACCTTTCACTTCATTGCTGTTGTATCGGTTTGCAATTGTTGGTGACTATTTGAGTGATGGCTGATCCTCCATTGACTGTAAGCTCCTCAGGACAGACGCTGTGCCCGTTCTCACCTTCATGTCCTGAGTACCCAGTGAGCAGTAGGTGCTTGACAAATCTTTGTTAGGTGAAGGCCTCCACTCCCTTCCCTAGTGGAGCATGTGCGTGTTTATGGTCTCTGGCCCCCCCATCTAATCATCTTTTCTCCTCTGGTCAGCCCAGCCGAGGCCTCACTCACGTCCCTCTCTGAGGCCAAATGTTCTCAGCCTGGAGGAGACCAATGTTCCTGTCTGTTCATGAGGACTCTGTGCCCGTCATGGCCTCTTCCAGGTAAGTCGAAGCGATTCCTCGATTCACTATTTACGGTGTGCGGGCGGGGAAGAGACAACCTGACAACACCCAGGAGAGGGCGACCCTCATCTCCTGGGTGACAGTTGTGGCAACAGGCAACGTTACATGCTCCCAAGGGCTGGTGAGGCTGGTGTTCGAATCCCCGTAGACCTGTCGGGAGCAGAGGGAGTGGACTGCTCTTTGGGGCTTTAGGGGTGGGAGCAGGAAGAGAAGGACACATTACTGTGGTCATCTGTGAGCTATTCCGGATGAACTTGGAAATCAAGAGAGTGAAACTCTGAAGTCGACACCAAAGGAATCAGACAGAGATGGGCCCGGTCATTGTGCCACCGGGCCACCTTCTGATGATCCTGTGGCTTCTTGAGCCAGCTATGGGCCAGATGCCAACCCGTTGGCTAGAGGTTGTCTTGCTGGGAAATAAACAAGTAGCATCTGGTGCTCCTTCAGTCTCTAGAGAAACACACCACGAGAGACAGCTCCCCAAGCCCAGGCACTGAGGAAACAGCACTTCTGTCGCTGCAGAAATGGGGCCAATGGCTGGACCAAGGGGTACCCAGGGGAATCTGACCTTCCGAGGCTCCGCAGAGAAGTCTGCCAGTCTCCACGGGTCGGGAATCGAGGGCCCAAGGAGGACGGCTGGTCTCTGTTCCATGATGTTTGGGGCCTCGGCAGGAAGACTCAAAGGCTGGGGAACCAGAATCAACTGAAGGCTTGGCTGGGGCCGGAGGACACTCTTCTGAGGTGGCAAGCTGGTTCCTCTCCACGGAGCCTCTCCACGCGGCTGCTTGAGGGTCCTCCACGCAGGGGCTGGACTCCCCCAGAGCGAGCAACCCAAGAGGCGAAGGAGGAAGCTGCAGGGCCTTTAATGACCTAGTCACGCAAGCCACACACTGTCACTGCCGCCACGGGTGGGAAGCGAGTCACTAAGTCCAGCCACATTCACTGGAAGAGGAATTATCTCCACCTTTGGAAGGGAAGAACATCAAAGAATATTAAAACCACCGCTCCACCAGAAGGGTCTCTCCGGGGCACGTTTTCTACTCCATCCCTCCCTCCTTCAAGCCATCGGGTGCAAGACCTCACTTTCTTAGCATCCAGTGATGACTCTCCTCCTCCCCTTATGCAAACTTGCCACTTCTCACCTCCCTGTCCAACCTCTAGTCCGCCTTCCAGAACATGCCAGAGGCTTCCCCACTCGTGTGCCTCTGCTCGAGTTGCTCCCTCTGCCTGGTCTGCCCTCCCTCCTTCTTGTCCCCTGTTGACATGCTCCTCATCCTTCGAGACAGCTCCAGAGTCGCCTTCAACCTTCTCTACCTCCTCCCCCGAGTTCTGTGTCCTCGCCCCTCCTCCCACCCCTCAGCACTCATCACACACTGGCTGCAGTTGCCAGGAGCTCCTGCAGAACAGGGACCAGGGCTATTCCCCGCTGGTCCCCCAGCCAGGGTGGAGCTCAGCACAGAGAAGATGCTCAAGACGCCTTTCAAGGGTAATTGCATTGATGAATGAGTCCATCGCAGGGCCCCAGTCTGGCCCCTTGCAGCCTGCCAGCTGCTCCAGGAAGCAGAGGGACTTCCCTGGGAAATCCCAGAGGCCATCAGCAGATTCTGCCCCATAATTCATGCTCAGCTCCTCCACCAGGAGCTTGCCCAACAATCAACCGTTGTTGACTGAGGAAGAGCCCTCTACCTCCCCTGGCCCACCCCGTGGGACACTAGGAAAATGCCCCACAGTCCTGCCCTGGGGGTTGTGCTGTTGGCTTTTCAGTGTGTCTTCATCCCCACTCTTTCATCTGCACCTTGCAACAGCCATGCAAGGCAAGTCGGGAAGAGAGTAATAGTCTACTCCAAAGAAAACAAAATGGAAGCTCAGAGAGGTCAAGCAATTTGCCCAAGACCACACAGCTAGGACAGGAACCGAAGTCTGTCTGAGCCCCATGTCACTTTGCTGAAGGTAGAGATGAATTAGCCTTAAAAGCAACACTCCTAAAAACAGTCCTGTGGTCTGAGCCTCACCCAAGAGTGAAAGAGGAGCCAGTGGGTTCATGATGAAGTCGCCGATACAGGAGCAACAAACTGCAAACAGGGGTGCTGGAGTTTGACACTGGTTGTTTTAATAAGTTCACAAAAACAGATACTTATTCATGTTTATTGAACAAGGCAAGTGCTTGGGGCTTTTTTGCACATTGTCTCCAATCCCCACCAGACTCCAGAGAAGTAGATTTTGTTATTCCCATTTTATAAGGTAGGTCTTGAGGTCAGAGAGGTTAATTAACTTACCCAAAGTCACACAGCTAATGGATGAGCTGAGATTCGAACCCAGCAGACTGTCTGGCTCCAAAGCCCCTGCTCTCCCTTTCTGTCACGGAACCTCTGATCATCAACACTTTGCTGATGGAAGCATGATGCCACCCTCTGCCAGGAGGAGACAGGGAGTGGGCAGATGGGCTGTGGTCTTGGAGCCAGAGAACCTTCCTGTCTGGAATAATATCATCTTTCTCTTCTAATAAGTTACTCACCCATAGCCAGACCATGAGAGGCTGAAAGATGACCCGCTCCCCTGGGAGGGGCCCGAGGCGATAAGGAACGGATGTGCTGTGCATCGTCTCATCAAGGACGTTTCAGGGAGGTCCAGAGTCCACGACTTGTGATGCTTAGGGCTGGTGATGGACGCTGGCCAGAGGAACGTCCCAGCGGAGCCACGAGGTGAACAGGAGCTCTCAGTTCAGGCCCAAGGAGAAGAGGCCCCTCTCTCAGATCCGGTGAGCCAGAGAGGCTCCGAGAACGGCACAGACAAAGCCTGCGTCCCCCCGACTCCACCTTCCGGACGCTGTTTGCTGGGCGGACGAGCCGTCTTACTCCCCCCCTCCTCCTGCCCCAGTTGTTTCTCCTTCTTCCCGTGACCTTGAGGTGTAACAGCCTCTCTTCCACTTTCTTTCAGCGCCGAGATGCTCAACCTCACCTCGCAAGTGCTTGTGCCCGCTCTCAACGGGACCCTCTCGCAGAGCAGCCCGTGCTCGCCCTCCGAGTGGGTGAGCTGGCTCAACGCCATCCAGGCGCCCTTCCTCTGGGTCCTGTTCGTGCTGGCGGCACTGGAGAACCTCTTCGTCCTCAGTGTCTTCTGCCTGCACAAGAGCAGCTGCACGGTGGCGGAGGTCTACCTGGGCAACCTGGCCGCGGCGGACCTGATCCTGGCCTTCGGGCTGCCCTTCTGGGCCGTCACCATCGCCAACAACTTCGACTGGCTCTTTGGGGAGGTGCTCTGCCGCGTGGTGAACGCCGCGGTCTACACAAATCTCTACAGCAGCATCTGCTTCCTCATGCTGGTGAGCATCGACCGGTACCTGGCCCTGGTGAAAACCATGTCCATGGGCCGCATGCGTGGGGTGCGCTGGGCCAAACTCTACAGCCTGGTGATCTGGGGCTGCACGCTGCTCCTGAGCGCGCCCATGCTGGCCTTCCGGACCATGAGGGAGTATGCAGACGAGGGCTACAACATCACCGCCTGCATCATCGTTTACCCATCCCGCACCTGGGAGGTGTTCACCAACATCCTCCTGAACTTCGTGGGCTTCCTGCTGCCCCTGTGCGTCATCACCTTCTGCACAGTGCAGATCATGCGGGTGCTGCGCAACAACGAGATGCAGAAGTTCAAGGAGATCCAGACAGAGAGGAAGGCCACGGTGCTGGTCCTGGCCGTACTGCTGCTGTTCGTCATCTGCTGGCTGCCCTTCCAGATCAGCACCTTCCTGGACACGCTGCTGCGCCTCAAAATCCTCTCCAGCTGCTGGGATGAGCACGTCGTCGACGTCCTCACGCAGATCGCCTCCTTCGTGGCCTACAGCAACAGCTGCCTCAACCCGCTGGTGTACGTGATTGTGGGCAAACGCTTCCGCAAGAAGTCGCGGGAGGTGTACGGGAGGCTGTGCCAGAAAGGGGGCTGCCTGTCGGAGCCCAGCCAGACGGAGAGCTCCATGGGCACGCTGCGGACCTCCATCTCGGTGGAACGCCAGATTCACAAGTTGCCGGAGTGGGTGGGGAGCGGCCCACCCTCGGGGAGCAGCAGTGGGAGCGGACGTCCCCAGGGCTACGCTGATTCGCGTGAGGACTGACGGACAGGTGCTCTTCAGGATGCGCCTAAGAAGGAATGGAAGGCACCCCACGTGTGACCTCGGGCGACGAGGAAGTGTCTCCATTAAAACACAGGAGCAGAGTTTGTGCCCTGCCCAAGATGCAGTGAGCAAGGCTGTGAGGATGGGTGACCCTGTGCACCGCAAGGGCTCCATGAAAACGACGGCATTATCGTCTTATCTGCTGCCACCCCTGGGCAACTGTGCTCCCTCCTAGGACTGGAGATGGGGAGAGGTGTGACTGAGCCTTCCTCCCACGTGGCGTCCCCCCTGCCCCAGCACGACAGCTCAGATCTCCAGGAGAACTGCCACCCCGGCTTTGGTGTGGTGGCTGAGCCCACGCACGGGGCCTGGCTGAATTTTCGCCTGAGGTCTCTTCAGTCCTCTCAGCTAGCACTTCAGAGGATGATTTCTCGGATTGATGAAGGTTAAACCCTGGGGGTCCCTTCCCTGGGAGGAACCCAGAGACCAAGATTCTGTTTCTCCCCTCGCCCATGGACAAGGTGCAGCCTGAGCCAAAGAAAACCCAATAAGCACTGATCCAGCACTTGCTGTATATGCAGCATTGAGCACTGTGGGCAGGAGGGAAAACAGAGACGTTGCATCTTCATCTTGAAGGAACTTGCAGACTCCTGTGGGGACGACAGCGCATGTGCCACCCCCAGCAGGCTGTTCTAGGACTGGTCCAGCGCGGCCCTGTGGGCAGCGCAGGGGCAGAGGGAGAGAGGCCGGAGCCGGCTCAGCTATCAACTAGTTGCACATTGCCTTGTCTCTGCCTCAGTTTCCTCCTCTGTAACATGAGGTCGTTGGAGCACTTGGAAAAGCGAAAGATGCTGTGCATATGTGAGGCTTTATTATGCGCACAGAACAGAGATAAATTTCTTTTCAGGAAAAAGACACTGGTGTGGCATAACTCTGCAGAGGAGAATGCCAATTGTAGCTAATGGTTGTGTAAAGCACCTATCAATGTCTGTCACATAGTAGGCACTCAATGGTATTAGTTTCCTGCCATCTTTCTTTCCCGTCACTCTGCACCCCCCCCCCAACAGGTGCACGCGCAGGCATCTTGGGGGAAGGCCACCCCCTCACCCTTTGATCTGTGATGAGGCAGAGAGATTTCTGATCCAACAGGCCCAGGGGATCCCAGGGCTCAGAGCCTCAGCAACGGAGGGGGCCAAACCCAGGTTTCTCTGAGGGTGGCCCGGTGGGGGCCACCCCGGGGCAGCAGACCAGTGATCCAGGCACGAAGGTCATTTACCTCAAAGCATTGCTCCCAGGACCAACCTCCCTTACACAGCGGGCTGAGCGCCTCATGGGTGTCACCCTCATCCCTGGGCCAGCAAGGCCTGTGTCCCGGATGGGGTGCCTGGGTCCAGGTGCACGTGACCGTTAGGAAGCCCTGGGGACAAGGCCCCACACGATGAACAGGTCCACGCTGAACAGAGATGGATGGACGCCCTCCTCAGGTGGCCTCCCCGCTGACAGCTTGCCGGTAGAACCAGCTGCCGAGGGGCCGCAGCTCCGCCTCCGGGGGGGCGGGGCAGGGCGGGGCGGCCAGTGATGGGCGGGGCGGAGGGCCGGTCCAGGTGTCAGGCAGGAGGAAGCTGGACCAGCATCCTCCGTGAGAGACTTAAGAGACAGCCCTGCCCCCAAGCCCCAGGTCCTTTAGGGGGAATTCGTTTCATCTTCTACACGTCTTACAATCCACCTCCTGTGGCCGGCACCGTGCCGAGCCCCTCGGGGAGATGTGGAGGACGCACCACCCAGGCTCCAACATCAGGCCGCTTTGAACCAAAGCAGGGAGGGGCCCTCAGCAGCAACAGAGTTGGGAACCACGCAGGACAGTAAGACAGGCAGTGCCCGGGCAGCACTCACTCGCTCAATAAAATAAATGAGTATTTATTAGCGGGCTCTCCCTGGAGAGGATAGCAGCTGGAGGACCAGGGCTTTGGGATGGCAAAGATCCCGTAAGTCCTGACCAATCCAGCTCTGGATTTTAAAACAGAGTCAAAAAAAGATTTCCTCCCACCCTCCAGCCTTTTTCCCCCCTCCCCCCACACCCCTCTGCTCCAATAAACTACACACTTGTAGCCGCAGAAAGAAAACGGGTGAAATAAGAGGCAGGAATGTTTAGTGTTAGAATGAAGCTAACCATGCACTATTGTGAATGAAAAAAAGGAGGCTGCGCTTTGTAATGTGAAGCACTCATTCATCAGCGGGTGTGTGCTGGTCTGAGGGTCTCCTATGAGCAGAGCCACGTTGCAGCCCTGGGCTCCTAGGGATCATTTAGGGGCGTCCATGTGTGGTCTGAGGAGCAGTCAGTCTGTGGGAGGGGAGCCCCCTGGGGGTTGTGTTGATACTGTGGCAAAGATTATCTGTCCTGTGAAAGACACAAAGATGCTGCTACATTGTAAAGAGGGAGCATTTCACATACAGTGAGAAAATGGATGTAATGTGTCTCTTCTGTACAGCATAATAAACGGATGAGGAGGTTTTGCATAGCTCTTTCATTTGTGACAACTCCCAAAACCCTGAGTTTTGTCGGGGACACTGCCATGGGCAGTCGGAGGCTGTGGGGGTTCCACTGGTTCCCACTCAACCTACGTTAGGGCTTCTGTCCTGTAGATCAGTGGTGTCCTAGCTTTTGTGATTGTGCATCCCTGTAAGTAAAAGAATTTCAATTATGCATACCCAATATGTATACTTATTAACATGTATTAAAATGTACACTCTAAAGTACATGTACTGAAGTAGAAATTTAAGAAAATATAATGGGGTTTGAGTATTTCCCCCCATCCTACATTCCTCCATTGGTAACTCATTACCAAGCTCCCATCAGGTGCCTGTGAGGCCCCATGAGGCCCTAGAATCATAGAGATGACAGCAATCCGATCACTCATGCAGGCAATATATATTTATCGAGGGCCTTCCATTTGGCCTCCCTTTCAAATCAGGAGTGCCTTCTACATTGTCTAAATTAAACAGCTGTCTAGCCACTGCTTGCATACTCCCAGTGATGGGGAACTCATTACCCACTCTATTTTGAGACCCCTTCATTATTCATGTATTCATTCATTCACTCATTCATTAAACCAAACTTGCATCCTATGTCTGCAGAAATGGCACTGCTCGTTCTCCACATCCATCCATCCATCCGGAAACCTGGGGCTTATCATTGAACGCACCCTCTTCTTCATCCCTTCCACCTAGGGGATCAGCACCTCATTTAGATTCCACCAAAGTGTTTCCTGGATCCATCTGCTTCTTTCTGTGTCCAAGCATCATCTCTCATTGGTGTCCCCATCACTGATGTTAATCACCATCATCTCCCAACTCTTATTCTCCAGTCTGCAGCCAATGATGTCTTTTAAGAATGCAAATGCAATCGTAGGAGGCTAAATGTAAAGAACAGTGTTTAGGAGCCAAGGCTTTGGGAGCAGGCAGACCTGGATTCCAGTTCCAGTTCTGGCTTGGGCTCTTATTTGCTGTGTGGTCTTGGGTGTCTCAAATATCCTTTCTGAGTCTACACTTACATCTGTAAAATGGGGATAATAATGGCATATACCTCATAGAACTGTTAACAGGATTAGTGTATGAAAGTGTTTAGCACAGTGCCTGGTAGATAGTCGGTACTCAACATGTGTGAGCTGCCATGATGGTGATGACGATGGTGGTGATGATGATGGTAATGACAATGGTGATGACAATGGCTGTGATGAAGATGACGGTGAGGGTGATGATGGCACTTTCTAACAGGAAACTTCAATAGTGTCCCATCACTCTTGGGATAAAGTTCCACCTCCATAAACATGGCTGGCAAGACCCTCCATGAGCTTGCCCCTGCCTTGTCTCCTTCTCTCTCGCTAGTCCCTGGCTCATTCTCTACCCTCCCACCATATTGGACACAAGTGCCTGGACAGAGTCCCACAGACATCCCATTCTCCCTTCAATGCCCACACTTTCCAACCAGGCTGCACCTCTCACCAAGGCCCTGAGCTTGGAGAAAGTTTCCCACGAGTGCCAGACGAAGCTCACTCATCTGAGGGACTTTGTTCACAGATGTGAGCATGACGCAAGGAAGTCTGCAATCCAGATGGAAGCCACTTGGCTGGAAATTTGAGTAGGGCTCTCGGCAGACAGAGATAGGCTGGGAGAGCCTCCCTTCCCACCTCTTCCCACCACAGCCAGGTGACAGGAGAGGCCCATGTTGCTGCTGACCCTCCTTGGCCCCAGCAGACTGGTGAGATGGGAAGAAGCCCAGGGGGTGCCTCTGGTGGCCTCAGAACCAAGCCATGGGCCTGGGTCCTGAGTCTGCCCTGGCCAGAGCAGGTGAGGGCCTGGTCTTCGGAGGCGCAGACTGAATGCCATGTGAGCAACCAGGCTGCAGGAGGATGGGGGTCAGGGGTGAGTAAGGAGGTCATGGTTTGGCAATAGCAACGGCTGAAAGCTTAATGGTTTGTCTGTGGTTTTGTCGCTGAGGTCAAAGGGGCCCCATGAACATGTCTTACACGGTACTGAGCTCTTGGTAGAGTAGATCTCACGAGGACTCAGGCAGGCAGGTGCTCAGAGCACCACCAGTTCCACCAGACGAGGAAACTGAGGCCCCGAGAGGGAAGTAACTTGCTAAGACCACACAGTTCTTCAGGAGGAGGAGGGCGCTCTGGGAGCCCAGCTGCCCCTGGTGTGTTCCTGCCTTAACACACGACGCAAGTTCTGTCACCAAGACAGCCCTCAAGGTGCCTTCTCACATGAAGAGCTTCCGAGCCTGGGCTCGGGCTGTTTCCGCCCCTGTAAACAGACTCTGCATCTTCTAGGCCTGGTGAATACTCGCTTCCTGCAGAATCGGCTCCCGGAGGCTGCTGGCTGCCACCTTACACTGAGGTTTTGTAACAGCAGCCTTGTCAAGACGTAATTCACATGCCATACAGTTCACCCATTCCGGTGGCCTTTAGTCTATTCCCAGCATTGTGCAACCACTACGTCTCTCTAATTCCAGAACACATCCATCACCCCCAAATGAAACCCCACACCCGTTATCAGTCCCTCCCATTCCTCCCTCCCCGCAGCCTCTGGTAGCCACTAATCTTTCTGTCTCTGGATTGGCCTGTTCTGGACATTTCACCAAGATAGAATCACACAATATGCGGCTGTTGTGTCTGACTTCTTTCACCTAGCTGACGCTGAGATACAAAATTTGATCGTAGACGAAGAACTTTGGAGGCCCGGACTTGAGTCCCTACCATGCCACCCACTCACCATGTGATCTGGACAAACCACTTTACTCATTCCCCGCTACCCCTGGCCTTTGGCCTCAGTTTCCTCACCTGTAAAATAGGCAGATAACACAATAAATATGAGTTTCTCCCCCAGAGCTAATGACGCCAGGAAAGGGGCTTTGTAGACAATAAAGGGCAGCAGTAACATCACAGGGGATGCCCCGCGCTTGGAGCCAGGTTCCCCGGTCACATCCCAGCTCTGCCACTTCCTGGCTGTGGGAATTCAGACAAGATCAGTTAACTTCTCTCAGTTCCTGGTTTTTCACCTATAAAATAAGGATCCAGGTGTTGTGAAGATTAAGTGAGATAAAGGTGTTCCAGTGAGTTGAACAGTGTCCCCAAAATTCACATCCACCTGGAACCTCAGAATGTGACCTTATTTAGCAACAGAGTCTTTGCAGAAGTAATTAGGTTAAGACGAGGTCATACTGGGTTAAGGTGAGCCCTAAATCCGATGACAGGGGTCCTTATAGGAAGAGGAGAGGACACACAGAGGCACAGGAGGCAGAGATTGGAGCGATGCTTCTGCAGGCCAAGGGCCACCAAGCTTTGCCTGGAACCACCGGCAGCCAGGACACAGACAGAGAACAGAGTCGCCCTCAGAACCTCCAGTTTAAATGTTGGAGTTCCTCTGGCTTCAGTTCTAAGCACCCTTCTTGTATCTCTACAAAGTTTCCTAACTCGTCCCAGCCAGGATCGTCACTCTCAATACCATCTCCAGGGGGAACCAGCCCCGCCGACACCTTGACTTTGGACTTCCGGCCTCCTGGGCTGGGAAAGAACAAATTTCCGTTGCTGTGAGCCACGCAGTCTGCAGTCCTCTGACGTGGCAGCCCAAGCAGACCAAGACAGGGGTTTTCCTAGTTCCGAGCACATGCTCCCCACTGAGCTTGCCATCGCAGTCCACACAGACCCCTTTCCCAGCAATGGGAGAGGGAACCCCATCTCCTGAGGGCTGGAGACCCTGGTTGGTATAGAAGGTTTCCTAGGGAATTTTAAAGTTTTCAAAAGCAGGCTCCTGAGGCCTCTTCCAGGGTCACGAGGATGTTAGGGGCCGGAGTGTGTGCACCAGGGCCTGCTGGTCCTGGTTTTAACCACTTTGCCTCTGCTGGTCCAGGCTCAGGCCACCCTGTTTCTCTCTTCCTTCCAAACCCCGAAAGGGTGGCTGATTCAGAGTCTCAGACTAGGTTAAGAAGAAGCCACCAGGCCTGGCTCCCGACTTCCAGACAGCCCAGCCACCTTGGCGGGAGGCTGTTTACAGACAACCCTGAAAGATGGCCCAAGACGGGGCTCCAAGGCCCCTCTGGAGCGTCCTTCCATGCTGAGTCACCCTCTGTGGCCCACTCTATGCATGCCTGTCTCCGGTCTCCAGTCCTGGCCGAGCCGGAGGACGGCTATGTAACCCCTCCTGTGTGACACCACCGCTGTCTTGTGCAACAGCAAAATGATAAAATCAGAACAGCTACGCTGGCTGCTGACCAAGGGCCAGCTACGTCACCACATCATCTCCCATGATCCCCCAGCTCTGAGAAGAGGCCAGCTTCACAGACTAAGGAACCACAGCCCCAGGACGCGGTATGGAGAATGGTCCAAGTTCACCCTGCTCAGCGGTGATGGAGTAGGGCTTAAACCCTGGCGAGGTGGCTCTGCGGCCCAGACCTGCCCACCTCAGCTTCCAGCTCAGACCTTAAGGACCTGGGTCTTGCTTTGGAATCAGATTTTTTCACCAAGTACCTGTCCACCTGCTGGAAGATGAGGCAGTGAGACCCCAACCTCCTGACCTCTGAACGGCCTCTGGGGGCAGTCTGACCCTCATCCTCGTGCTCCATGGTGAAAGAACAGATGCTCTTGTTCTGAGAACGGGTTCTCTCCCATCAGCAGCCCCACCCCATTAGTTGCCTGAATTCTCTCTTCAACTCAGTCCTGACATCATTTTCTTCCAGAGCTTCAGGGCTCGCCTTCCATCTTTTAAGCTATTTTGGTACCTTATTTACTTCTGCAGAGTTTCCCAAAGTTTCTCAAAAAAAACCTGGCTCCCGATTGGTCAAATGAGTCTGAGAAATGCAACTACCACATCTTCCTCGAGGGGCTTCACAATGCACACACGCGTATTAAAGGCCCTGAGAAGTCCTGCAGGAAAGACGCCTGCTCCACTCTGCTTGTCTAACCCAGGGTCTCCTGGACTTGATCGGCACAGAACCTGTTTGTCGCTGGCTGCTGCTTCATGCTCTCCTTGCCCAGCGCCTGCTTCTCTCCCTGAAGTTTAAATGTTGGAGTTCCTCTGGCTTCAGTTCTAATCACCCTTCTTGTATCTCTACAAAGTTCCCTAACTCGTCCCAGCCAGGATCGTCACTCTCAATACCATCTGCGATGGTCAGTTTATGTGTCAACTTGGCTGGGCTCCAGTAACCAGTTATTTAACCAAACACAAATCTAGGTGCTGCTGTGAAGGTATTTTGTAGAGGTGGTGAAAATCCACAACCGGCTGACGTTAAGTCAAGGAGATTGCTTTCGCTAATGTGGGTGGGCCTCATGCAATCATTCGGAAGGCCTGAAGAGCAAAAACAGAGGTTTACTGAAGAAGGAGAAATCCTGCCTTGAGACTGCAGCACCAACCCCTGCCTGCTGGCCTGCCCTACAGACTTTGTACTTGCCAGTCCCCACATCACATGAGCCAATTCCTTGCAATAAATATCTTGATTGATAGATATAGATAGATATAAATAGATATAGATAAAGGATAGATAGAAAGATAGATAGATGATAGGTAGATGGATGGATGGATGGATGGATGGATGGGTGGATGGGTGGATAGATGGATGGATGGTTAGATAGATATGAATAGATTAGATAGTAGACTGATAGAGAGATGATAGGTAGGTAGATACATAAATGGATGGATGGACAGATAGATGGATAGACAGATATCCTATTGGCCCAGTTTCTCTGGAGAGTCCTGACTGATACACATCTATGCCAACAACTCTCAAACGTTCTCTCTCTTCTGTGGAACCGTCCCTGACCCCATTACCTACTGGGCAGCCCCAAGTAGGCGCTTCACACACGTCTCCAACTCAAATCCAAACCAACCCGTTTCATTCTCTCCTTCTGAAACTTAATCTTCTCTTCATCTTCTCCACCCAGTTGCTCAGCCAGAAGCCTAGATACGTCTTTGTTTTTACCCCCTTCCCCTCCTCCCACATGCCTGCGCCACCCAGCGCCCCTGCTTCCACCTCCAGGCCGCAGCTCAAATCCACCCACGTCTCAATCTCCTCTCCAGTCTTGAACCTTTCAATCCATTTGCCACACAAGAGCTGAGGCGATCTTCTCAAACACTTGAAAACCTTTCATGGATTCCCGTTTCTGCTGGTTGCGGTGAGCGCCGCCCAGACGCTCCTTCAGGAATGAAGGACTTATCACCCCAGCTGCCAGGAATGCTGCCGCCAGACGAGGGCGTGGCTTCGCCCAAAGTCAAGCCCCTTTCCAGGGCATCCTGCCTCTGATGACTGAGACAAGGGGAAGCCCAGGCCTCCTGCCCCAGCTCAGACGGCTTTGAAGAGTCATCGCATTTGAGAATCTTCCCAGGTCGACTGAGGCCTCTCTTAAGACTGCCCTGCAGCTCAGTGTCTCCCTTGGCCCGATCCTTCTCCCTTCCCTTCGCTTTCACAGGTGCTGACCCCTTAGAACTCCTGCAACCCACAGTACCTCTGGACCTAGAAAACTCCAGACCCCAGGAGCTGCTCTCCCAGGCTCTGTCTGAGCTGGCCCCTGCCCACTCTCCACCTCCTCTCCTGCTGTGCAGCCCAAGGCACTCCTTCTGCCCTTGCCTCTTCAGTTCCTCGAGCATATCAAGCTGAGTGATGGGGGCCTGCGGCTTGAACCTGGGCTTTCTGCCTCCAAGTTCCAAGTGAGCCTTCCAGAAACACGTTCGTGCATATGTGTGTTTATAATACATATGCTGGTCCTTCCACCTACAATGTTTTTCTCAGCTTGCCTGCCTTGCAAACTCCTATTCAACTCTCAAAACCCAGTTCAAATATCCCTCCACCATGAATTCTTCTCAGCCTCTGTCTCGAGCAGAATTAAATTCTTTCCGTCGTCACACTCAGACAGAGCCTTGCCTCCTCCTTGCCACTTCACATTCCACAACATACAGTCATGGAATGTCTGCCTGCCTGTGTCCTCAGACGGACTGAGAGCATCTCAGGGGAGGACAGAGACAGGGCTTTCTTTTCCCTGTCCCCCAGTGCCCACAGCTGGCACCCACAAGGGGTTTGGGATGTGTGTGTTGACATAGAGACAAACTACTGATATTCATATATAGAAATAAATAGTTATTAATTCATTCAGCAAATATGTATTGAGCGTGTCAGCCCTGTTGTAGGAGTTGGTAATATGACTCTAATCCAGAGATAAACCCCTCGCCTGGTGAAGCCCACCTTCTGGCAGGGGAGTCAGGAAGTACAAAATAAACGAATAAGGTTTCCAGGTGTTTGTGCTTTGTTAAAACTACCTTTAGGATTTTCTCTTTATCTCCCTACATCTTGACACCTGAGTCTCGCCCCATTCTTCCCCCTCTCAGTCTGCACGCTGCATGCTCTTCTACGGCGGGTTCTGTCACACTCCGCTGCACGTGTTTGCTTGCTCACCTGCCTCATCTGTCAGAGCGTGAGAGCCCCAGGGCAGACACGGAGCCTTCTTCTCTCTGCCCCTGGCACCCAGCACCCGCCTGGCACCACACAGGCTCCCCGCGTGTTGCAGAGCAGAAGGATGAACAGAGAGGAGCAGAGGGTTACAACAGGACTTGAATGATGGGTGGGCATTAAGCACGGAGAGAGGAGGGGAGGGCATTTCTGCAAAAGCTCACTGGAGGCGAGTCCAGAGCCCTGGGAGTCTGCGGGTCACCCCTCGCAGCCGGGACAGAACAGCCAGGGTGGAGGGCAGCTCTGGGTGTCACAGCAGGACCATGGAGGCATCTGTGAATTCCAAGGGCTGGGCTGTTGTCCTGTGAAGGGACAACATCGAGTGCTCCTGGGATATTAATCTAGCCAAGGATAGACTGAAGGAAAAAAGTCAGAAAGCCAAGATATGGTTTGGCGTTCTTTGTCATAGACGTGTTTGTTGCCCGAGTGTCTAAACCTAGGATAGGAAGGAAGTCTTGAGCAGAGGTTAAAGGGCACCAGCCAGACTGGAACTAGGAAGCTGCCTTTAATCCTGGTGAGAAATTGGCCCGCGTTGGTCTTCTTTCCTTCATCTAGAGTGGAGGCGGTAATATAGACTCCAGATGCTGTCAGGACTAAGAACCCTGAAGATGCTTGGCCTATAAACACTGTAGAGATGTGCTGAATGAAATACACCGGGGTCTTTCCCCTCGAAGAACCTGCTAGATACGGCTAGGAAGGGGAGGGGACAAAGTAACTCCAGGGTTCAGTGTGACCCTGCATGCCACGGTGGGGACTGTGACCCATATGTCCCCAGGTTCTTCAAACTCCAGCTCACCTTCCCGTGAGTATGCATCGGGCACGGTCCGAGCCTGCTGGTACCTGGGGATCCAGCCAGCCCCGAGTCCCCTGCGTTAGCAATCAGGACCATCCCAGCGATGGGTGGCCTGTCCCACCCGGCTGGCCAGGCTGTCCTCTATGTCTAGATGGCAGCCCTGGGTCCTCCCCTGGTGGCCTCTCCGTGCCTTCTAACTGTGTCTATGCTGTGTGTTCTCCCTATGTGCTCCCCGCGAGGCACCCAGCACCCAGGGCACTTTCACCAAGTGCAGCTCACAGCGGACTATTCCTGTCTCACCCTCAGCCTCCTCCCATCTTCTCCACGTTCACAGGGGCCTGTTGACTCTTAATAGACTCAGGGTCCCCTCACTTGGCCCTCAGCCCCCAGATTTAGCTCCCCCGCCCCACAGCGTCAGAGGCAGCGGGAAACCCTCTCCTCCCCTGGACCGAGGTCTGCTTTCCATTTCCCATCCCGGTAAGCAACAGTGAGAACATCCATTCTCTTAAGATAACTTTCCTTTCCACCCCTGGTGTGGGGCCCCCACAGCCTTGACAAGGCTGCCACAGAGTCATTTCCCGAAGTCCAGCTTACTCAGCCCTCACTAGAGGCATGCAGGTCACTGACAGTCCCAGCCACGTGGCCCTGCCACGCACTGGCCACTTCTCACCATCTGTCTTCCCCGAGAGGAGAAGCCAAGCTCATGATCTCCTGCAAGTAAATACACACTTGGGCAGGAAGCCATCTCCCAGAACAGGTACTTCTCAGAAACAGGCCTGTCTCAACCCACATGGAAGGGAAAAAAGCCAACTGCTTTCTGCAAAGGCAGGGTTTGGCAGCCGAGATCCCAGCCTACATTCCTCATTAGGAAGATGGGGACTGGGAGCTTTCCTCTGATTAAATAAGGGCAAGCACTTGTCTGATATCTAAAAACGTTCGGTATCTCCTGACATGAAGGGACTTTCCCCAAAGATAATTTTTTTTTTTTTTTTTGAGGAAGATTAGCTCTGAGCTAACATCTGCTGCCAATCCTCTTCTTTTTTGCTGAGGAAGAGTGGCCCTGAGCTAACATTCGTGCCCATCTTCTTCCACTTTATACGTTGGATGCTGACCACAGCATAGCTTGATGAGCAGTGCCACGTCTGCACCTAGGATCTGAACCGGCAAACCCTGGGCCGCCAAAGCAGAATGTGCGCACTTAACCGCTGCACCACCGGGCCAGCCCCTGGAGTGTTCTTTTTTATTTTCCCCTGACTCCACAATTGTAAGATGTCCAGCAACAGGAGAAAACTGCTAGAAAATTTGAAAGGGCAGTTTGTCCCCATTGAGATATCAGTGACAGAAAAGGGAAATGCGACGAGAAGGACAGATTCTGAAAACAAAGGGGACATTTTGTGCTCCAGACACATTGGGTCCAAGGTTACTCCCAAAGGTGCAAATGGAGCATCAAGACGCAGGACTAGGGTGCAGGGAGAGCCGAGGCCTGCGATTTGGGGCGTCACCTTTCCAGAAGCCGGAATTCCAGCCCTGGTGGGGACACATTCTCCTGCAGTCAGGCAGGGAGCTTGAAACGGCCTAGTTTTTAGGAGCAAAGATAAACGGTAAGCGGCATTTGCTTAGAGGATCTTGAGGCAGGACTCTCAAAGAAAGCAGGAAATTTCTCACTGTCTGAACAAGAGGGCTTGAGTAGTTCAACTTAACATATGCAGACTTACATCAAAAACAGGCTTCAGAACAGCCAGGGAAGATTAAAAAGTGCATCTGATCTTAATCAACTCTAGACATTGCATGAGTCAAATTTTTCCTAGCTCGCTGTTTGTTCATCCAGCCTGATGGGTTCCTGGCAATGTATCCTTCGTGACCAAAATTCAAAAGGGGACATTCAAGTCAGCTCCCAGGAAAGCTGCTGTGGAGCCCCAGGCATCCAGAAGCCCAGCGAATGGGACAAAGTCATGGCTCAATGTCCCACCGATGCACGAGAGGCTTGTGGGGACGCAACGATGCCGAGGTGTGTTTCAAGGGCACGTTGGCCAATGTACCATTCTTGGGTGGGATCATGGGCCTCCCCAGATGTTATCACAGTAACAAAGGAGGTGGTAGCAGAAATAATCTCCTGCCAGCCCCAAAATACAAAGCAGTTTTCCTTTCAAAACCCTGGCTCACTTCCTCCCTCTGAAAGACTCACTTTTTGTAATCCCTCTGATGACCTCATTGGAGCGAGCCGAGGTTATGCAATTAAAGCCGCCTCATTTCTACAGTGCTTCTCACAACAGAAAACACCTCCGAAGGCAGCTCTCGCCATCAGGAATCCCAGCCTGAGTCCGGAGCGCTTTCATCTTCTGAGTAAGTAAATGGCCGTCCTTTTTTATCTCTTTCGAGAGAGTAAACTATAAGAGACTCCAAGTCTCTTACAGAAAAACAATAAAAAAAGCTTTCTTTCACAGCTAACTATTGGCAAATTTTCAGCTTTCTGTAAATGTACGTTTTTTTAAAACGTAATTCTCAATCAATGTAAGAGACTTGTATTCCATGCCTACTTGGGGTTTTGTTTTTCCAGAAGAGAAGGAGGAAGGAGAGTGTGGGGTACAGGGAGCGAAGTTTCCAGCAGCTCTTCATGTCAAGGTCCTAAGAAGCATGCAGAGGCTGAACACAGCAGTCAGAGCTCCGTGTGGACCCTGACCAGTTACAGTCCACAAATTCCGTTTATAAAAATCAAATTGGTTTCCCCAGGATCGCTCCCGAGATTTCATAAGGCCGAGAACTGGTTGGGTTATTTGTGGCTTGAAAATAGTATCGTATTATGGGACTGGGTTGACATTCTTTAATATGTGTCTATATTTCAAATGCCTTTACCATCACATCACTGTTGAAATTGGAATTAATTTGAAGAAGGCTAGTTTGTTGAAGACAGTCGCGCTGAGTCCCAAGGAGCAGGTGCCAATGTGAAAATGGGCAGGATTCAAAAAATATCACGTAGAAATTACAGAATCGTCGTCTCTAGTAGACTTGCCCAATGTCCCCTCTGAGTTTTACAAATGGGATCAAATATTCCTAATAACGTAAATAGCTGCTGTTTATTGAGCACCTACTCTGTGCCAGGCAAATATCAGAGCCAAAACTAAAGACCAGCGAAGGAAGATTTGTCCTCTCTGGCCAACTTTGTATGAACGCAGCCAGCAGCTGATGAAAACAACCCCTTTAAAAACAAGCCCAGCTTGAGCAGATACATCGTGTGTCTGCAGTGGCCATGGCCACAGCCGGGTCAGCAGGAAGGAGGGCAGTGTCTGCTGGCCTGACCAGATTCGAGCCACATCAGAGGTCTCTGCTGGTGGCACAGGTGGCAGTTCCTGATCTCCTGGGCAGGATGAAGTCTCACCCCCTGGTATTAGTTTCCTGTTGCTTTTGTAACAAATTAGTACAAACTTAGTGGCTGAAAATAACACAAAGTTATTATCTTACAGTTCTGGAGGTCAGAAGTTCAAAATCAGTCTCATGGGCTAAAGTGAAGGTGTCCGCAGGCTGTGTTCCTTCTGGAAGCCCCAGGGGAGAATCTGTTTCTTGCCTTTTCTGCCTTCTCAAGGTTGCCTGTGTTCCTTGACTGGTGGCCCCTTCCTCCATCTTCAAAGCCAGCAATCTCTCTCTCATCTCCACCCACCTGCGTCCCTCTTCCACTTACGTAAGGACCCTTGTGATGACACAGTGCCCACGTCCATAACCCAGGATCACCTCCCCATCTCAAGATCCTTAACTAAACCACATCTGCAAAGGCCCTTTTGCCTTGTAAGGTACCATGTTTGCAGGTCCCAGGGACGAGGATGCAGACGTCTTTGGAGGCTATTATTCTGCCGGCCCCACTCCCCTTCAGCCCCTCGGCCCCGGGGTGCAGCCCATCCTTTAGCCTGGTGCTGCCTGGGCAGCTCCTGCCTCTTGCTGACCTTTGTGGTCTCTCACAAGGACACAAGAGTGGGCCCCCTTCACAGCACCCCAAGAGCCATCCTTTCCTGCCCGGGCACCCACATTTCAGAAAGGACACGGACACCCCTTGCATGGTCAAGGACACCTGGAGAAGGACAGGGGGCGAGGCAAAGCAGAGCACATTCGTGGTCTCTCTCAGCCTCCACGATGAACCCCCTCCCCTCTCTTCCAGTTCCTTCTTAAACCTCCTGGGGGTAAAAGCTCCGAGGCTGGAGACAAATGAGAATCCCATCGCCAAGAATCAAGCCCTCTTGGAACTCAGCCTTCTGGAGTTTAGCACCTTAGTTTCCTAGCGTGCTGGGTCCCAGGTCCCCTGAACTGTTCTGTAGCTCGGGAACTGGAGAAAAGGGGCTCCCTGGTCCTTTCCAACCTCACGTTACAACACCAGGGTGGTCCGTGTGAAGGCAAGGCTGCCTACACTCAGAGGGACCAAGACGCTTTAGCATCACCCTCATCAGGATTTCCATACAGTTATTGTCATTATGATTGTGGGGGTCCTCATTAAAGCCTCGTATGGATGCTTTAAACCTAGGACGGGATTTTACATGCATGGTCTCATTCAAGCCTCACAATGACTCTGCAGCAGCCACCACTGTCCCCATTTTACAGATGAGGAAACTGAGGCTCACAGAAGTTATGTGACCTGCCTAGAATTATAGAGTTTGGTGACCCCAGGACGCAAACCCAAGTTCCAGGCCCCTTCTCTTTGTAGTCACGGCATACTGTGTGAAAGAGAATGGACTCCGAGCTGGGCCTAGAAGAAGAGCTGTGTACAAACGGACCGGCTCATCTCGCCAGGGGAACCTGGGCGGGTCACGTCACTCTTCTTCCCCTCAGTTTGCTCATCTGTACAATGGGCATAAAGGTACCCACCCTTCCTCCCAGGTATGTGTCAGGATCAAGTTACCTAAAGCCCAGCGCAGGCGTGGACCCAGCGGAGCCCAGGTGTGGCTGACATTGGAGCGTCCGAGCTGAGCATCAGGTCTCACCCTGCAGCCCCAGCGCGTGGGATGACTGGGGCCGAGACAAAGGTGCTGTGCGGGTTTTCCTTGGCACAGAGAACTTCCTCAGCATGTGCAGAGTTGTGCACAGGAAACAACGGCATGAGGCCCGGTGGGAATTTCAGGAAGCAGCTCCCACGAGAGCGTGTCGTATGAGGGGCCTTCCTGCATGGTCCACCGGGCATCTGAGAAATCAGGCTGGCTGGATGTATCGGTTTCCTGTGGGCTGTAACAAATTACCACAAACTGGGTGGTTTAATGCAAGTGGGTTGTATTACATTGATGGAGTTATGAAGCAGTTCTAGTCAAAAACTATTTTCAGAAAAATTATGTATCTAACTATATATATATATATATACACACATACATACATATATATACATATGTACATATATATACATATATACACATATATACATACATATAGACATATATACATATATATACATACATATATATATATATATATACACACACACACACACATCAACAAACTGGTTGTATTATATAGATGGAGTTATAAAGTAGTTCTAGTCAAAATATATTTTTAAGAAAACATGTCTTCGGGGGCCGGCCCGGTGGCGCAGCGGTTAAGTTCTCATGTTCTGCTTCTCGGCGGCCCGGGGTTCGCCGGTTTAGATCCCGGCTGTGGACATGGCACCGCTTGGCACGCCATGCTGTGGCAGGCGTCCCACATATAAAGTAGAGGAAGATGGGCACGATGTTAGCTCAGGGCCAGGCTTCCTTAGCGAAAAAGAGGAGGACTGGAAGTAGTTAGCTCAGGGCTAATCTTCCTCGGAAAAAAAAGAAAAGGAAAAAAAGAAAACATGTCTTTAAATATATCTATACACCTACATATATTAAAACACTTTCTTTATGTTAATTAACCGAACTTTGAAAAATAACATAAGGAAAAATAATTTTATAACGTAAGCAAATAATTTGTACCAAGCCCCTCCATGTGCTACAGTCAGTGTCTTAGGCTTGTACTTGACTCGGATATGTCATTGGCATTTTCCTGAAGAATGTATTTTTCTTTCGTTGTGGTCTTATTATCACTAACTGTTCCCAATGATTGTCTGAAATCTTTTCCTTCAGACTTTACGGTTAATAAATTTAAATTAAGGCCTTCAGTTGACTCTTCTCTTGGACCAGAATCTATTTAAATTAAGAAAATGTTTCCTGTGCAGGTGCTGAGGTACCTGTTAGCCTCTGAGCAATTCCGCCAAGCAGAGTCTACCCTCAAATCCTATTCTTTGCATGTGGAATTATGTAAACATTTCAGCCCAGATATTTTCACAGGTACTGTTTTTATGCCTTAGTTCTAGTTCCTTTCTTTCTTTTTTTCTTTTGAGGAAGATTAGCCCCGAGCTAACATCTGCCACCAATCCTCCTCTTTTTGCTGAGGAAGACTGGCCCTGAGCTAACTACTGCCAGTCCACCTCTTTTTTGCTGAGGAAGACTGGCCCTGAGCTAACATCCGTGCCCATCTTCCTCTAATTTATATGTGAGACGCCTACCACAGCGTGGTGTGCCAAGCAGTGCCACGTCTGCCCCCAGGATCTGAACCGGTGAACTCCAGGCCGCTGAAGCAGAACGTGCGCACTTAACTGCTGTGCCACTGGGCTGGCCCCTAGTTCCTTTCTTAAATGAATATTTTTACAGATTAAACTCTTCAAATAAGTTGTAGCTATTTATAATTTTTGGATGCTTTGTCAAATTGAGGTGCTGCAAATCAGAGGCTTTCTCAATTTCATCTCATTTCTGCACAGAACAAGAATTTATCCAATTGAAAAGATTCTTCCTATGAGTTGAGATATTCCAAAGCTCACGATAGAATTTTAAAATTAAATGGTGTGCCATTTAAGGCCTCATCTCTTTATTTGATCGTTTCCTCCCTTGCTCTTTAGAAATAAATTTCCATTATTTTCTGCATAAAAGCTTTGTTTTCAATAATTAGCATCTGCTAAAAGCTTTAAAAGCTCACATTTTGGTACTTCGTTTGTTGAAGACCTTGATTAAAGATTTCCGATGGATTTGGAACGCAATCAACAAAACTCTGGAACTCCGCTTTAACAAAGAGTTTAATCACATGTTTGGGCAATTAGACTCAACATCTTCTAAAATTGATTGACAATGGGCAGCCAGAAAGAAAACACATCTAAAGTTGTCTTTTTTTAAAATTTGTCATCAATCTCATCACAAACTCTTGGTAATTCAGTAACTATGTTTCAAAATTTTGTAAATTCTGTCAGCTATAACTTCCATTTCAATTGGTAGACTATTGAAACTTACTTATATGCAATTACAAATTACGTTTGCACCGTGACCTGTTCAAAGTACATTTCTGTTTCAACAGCCTCTTAATTTAATAAGAAAATTGTTGTTACCATGACACTCTCTGCCCACCAAAATGTGCATGTGTGTTCTCTTCACAAAAATATAACGAATTTATTCCCAACGTGAACAGTTTAAACTGAATTTGGAGCAGCATTCACAAAACGCCCGTCGTTTCGCTTCACCAGAACGAACTTCCAAAAGCTTCGCTTTGATTCTGTTGAACTGGAGTCAAAGAGCTGATGTCACGACTAGAATTGACTGATTTTTCTATTTCAAGAATCTGAGGATACTGATATCTAGCTGGCACCATTTCACTGTCTGTGGAGTTCTGAGGGCGGTGACACTGAATCAGCCATCACTTCCATTGCTGTACATGCAACCGAAAGTTCGGTCTCTGAACCCGACGCCAATCCAAATAACGAGAACAGAGTCTTGAGTGGAAGAGGAAAGGTTTTTACTATGCCAGGCACAGGGAGCAAAGCAGGGGCTCATGCCTCAAAAATTGCTAGCTCCCCATGAGGAATGGGTAGGGATTTTTATTTGGGGTTTTGGGTAGGGGAGGGGGGAACATGTAGCTTGTGCAGTTTGGCGTTTTCCCACCAGCCTGCGTTTGGCCTTGAGAGGCTGCTTGCAGCAAGGCTGGGGGAGGGTGAGATAGGAGGATGGCAGGTGGGCCTCGTCTTCTTGCTTGAGGCGGGTTCGAGCGGCGGGAGTGAGGAGTTGAGGTCTGGGAAGCCCCTGCTCCTTAATATTTTTGAGACAGCGGCTTTCCTGGCAAACTCAGGACACATGATTAGCTAAACTTTAGTGTGCCTCCAGCTCCAGGCCACCTGGGCTTTTAGCAATTTGTAACTCCCATTTAGTTGTAAAGCTCAAGGAGTCCAAGTTTACAGAAATAGGTATTTACACGTGAGTGGAGCTAGAGAAGCAGGAAAGGGGGTGGTGAGTTTTAGTTTTCACCCCATATACGCTGGGTTCAATGTGGGGAAACTGATATCAGGGCTGATGTTAAGAGCCTGTAACATGCATGCACAAGATAAGTTGGAACTAAAAATGAGCTGGATTAACTCAACAAAGAGTTGCTCGATCTAAGTGAAAAATCATGCCTCCGAGAGTGATCTCTGACAGCATCTTCTGCAGCTATGTGGGTGAAACTGATGTCTTAGGGCGTCATCTTTTAAAATTACTAACTTCTGAAGCGGCCACTTTGTGTCTCAGGTTTTCCTGTGGTCGGTGAAATCGCTGCGGCCCCCACAGGGATCTAAACATCCACAAACATTTTGTGCAACTTACACGTTCCTCATCAACTTCCTTGAGAAACAGAAGGTCAGTACTTAAATTTTCATTAAACATTCGCTTTTTAGCTCATTGATGCCAGAAGTGCTTATTGCAAAATTTAAAAGTATTGCCAAATAACAAAATAAATAGTTAGTTGTGGGTTTACACCCTGCAATAGTGACAAGAGTGTCCTAACTCCTCGGCACACTCTGGGTCAGAACTCCATATGCCACAAATATTTCACAGCCTCCCAACCCTTAATCTCTCATGTTTCCCACTGACTTGTCAACTGGAAGCCCAGCAGCTTATTCTCTTCCCCGTCTACACTCTCCCTTGGTGATTTCATCCGGTCTTGTGGCTTTAAATACCATCTATGTGATTACAACTCTCAATGGTGTATCATTATCTCACACTCGGTCTCTGAATCCCAGACTTGAATATTTAATTGCCCACTGGACACCCCCACTTGATGTCCAATAGACATCTCAACCTCAACGGGTCCAAAAGTGAATCCTGATCTCCTTCCCTGCAAAAAAGCCCTGCTGCATCTTCACTCTGGAATCTCCATTCAGTTGATGGCCACTTCATATTTCCAGGTGCTCAGGCCAAAAATCTCAGCATCTTCCAACTCCTCCTTTCTCACGACCTGTACCCGATTGAAAATCATGGTGGTACTACCTTCAGAATAAACCTAGGACCCGATCCCATCCCGCCATCTCCTCTGCTACCCTCCCCTGCTAACGTATTTATCCAGGGTGCTCCCTGTTGTTGACTCTCTCCTCTCTAGGCCAGAAGCACCCTGAGGGCAGGGGCTTTTGCTTGTTGGATTCACTGCTGTGCCCCAAACACCAGAACACCTGTGCCTGGCACAGAGCAGGTGCTCAGTAAATACTTGTTCTGCGGATAAAGGACTGGAGAAACCGGTGAATTAGACCTGGTGGGAATGGCACAGTGAGTGAGTTACAGACAGCGTCACATCAAGAAGGTCCTCACGTCTCCCCCGGATGAGGAAAGTCAGACTTGGAGACACGAAGTGACTGCCCAAGGTCGCTTACCCAAATAGACTGTTCCAAGACTGGCTCTTTCTTACACAGTATCTTGTGTTGGATGCAATGAGGCTTTGCCCAGTTGACAGAATCTTGAACGTCACCAAGCGATAACAACAATGATCACCATAGTTGACATTGAGCAAGTGCTTCTGAAGAGCCAGGACCCATTCTAAGCACTTTGCATATATTAACTCATCCAGGTTCCGGGAGGAGTTTTAGGGGTGGAGTCCCCAGAAATCCCACAGGGCAGGCAGCTGCTCACTGTGTGTCTGGGACTGTGTGCATCCACTAAGCTGGCTGTGGCTGGCATTGCTGGCAGGCACCCACAAATCCACGAGTTCAGGATGTGCTCTCATCTCTCCACGGTATTAGACGGCTGGGAGACGTGGTCCGCTTCTTTCCCACCATATCCTTCTCCCACTGAAATGCAATGCAGGCACCTGGGAGGCTATGAGCATGGACTTTGGGGTCAGTGCAGACTGGCCCTGTCGCTCACCAGTTATGTCTCCTCAGACAAGTCATTAACTTCGGAGCCCGGTTTACCCATCTACCAAGTGGGGACCAAACGTGCAGCAGAATAGAACAGAACAGAAGGACTGCCTGGGTCTGAATCCAGGCTCTGCTACCAATCTGCTGTGTGACCATGGACAAATGACTCAGCCTCTCAGTGCCCCATTTTCCGATCAATCAAATGGCGATTACAGTGGCCCTACCTCACAGGGCTGTTGAGAAGATTAAATGAAAAAATATGCAAATGTAAAACTCTTAGAATGGTGCCTAGAACATAGAGACCATTTAATAAATGTTAGTTATTCTTTTATTACTTGTATTTTTCAAGCCCAGCTCAAGAACCTTTTCGTTCTCTAAACCATCCACCATTGCCTGCCCCATCCACCCTACTGGTCCTAGCCCCAGTAGATCAGCTCCCTGCTGGCCAGGCCTCTTCCTAGCCCCTGGTTGATTTCATCTTGGGTCATCAGCCACTGCCTCCATGTCTGCATCCCTCTAGACAGTGAGCGCCTGCAGGCTGGGGGCTGCTCTGTCCTGTTCTCTGTATCTCCAGCGCCTGGCAATGTGCTGGCACAAGTAGGTGCTCATTAAATGTTTGTTAAACTGTTGTTGATAATAATAAGGCTGTTAATAAGATTAATTGCACCTTCCATTGAGTGCTTCCTCTGTGCCAGGCAACCATGCCAAGCTCTCCAGAGACACCATCACCAGTCCCTGCCACAATCCCACAAGAGGGATACGGTTAGCTCTGATTGTCAGAGAGGAAAATAAAAGTCAGTGGGTCTAGCTGGCCCACACCATCTGGTTGTGTCAGGATTTGAACTCAGGTTTCAAAGCCTTGGTCTTTTTCTTTATACCCGGGGTCAGCAAACTTTTCCTCTAAGGGAAGAGATGGCAAATATTTTCATCTCTGCAGGCCACGCAGTCTCTGTTGCAACTACTCAACTCTGCTCTTATAACACACAAGCAGCCGTGGACAATACGTAAATGAATGGGGGTGGCCGTGTGCCAATAAAACTTTATTTTCCAAAACTGGCCGGGGGCTGGATTTGGCCCTCCGGCTGTAGGGGGCAGCCTCTCGTGTTATGCTACGTGCTGTTCGTTGCAGGTCACTGTGGATGGCATCCCGGACCCTCCTGGAGTTCCAGTCCTCCAACCAGAGTCAGCTCTTGCCTCCAAATGCCACATCGTGTGACAACCTTCAGGAAGCCTGGGACCTGCTGCACAGAGTGTTACCAGCCTTTATCATCGCCATCTGCTTCTGCGGCCTCGGGGGGAACCTCTTTGTGCTGTCGGTCTTCCTCTTGCCCCGGCGGCGCCTGAACGTGGCAGAAATCTACCTGGCGAACCTGGCGGCCTCCGATCTGGTGTTTGTCTTGGGCTTGCCCTTCTGGGCAGAGAACATCTGGAACCAGTTCCACTGGCCTTTCGGAGCCCTCCTCTGCCGCGTCGTCAATGGAGTCATCAAGGCCAATTTGTTCATCAGCATCTTCCTGGTGGTGGCCATCAGCCAGGACCGCTACTGCGTGCTGGTGCACCCCATGGCCAGCAGGAGGCGGCGGCGGCGGCGGCAGGCCCAGGCCATCTGCGTGCTCATCTGGGTCATGGGGGGCCTCCTGAGTGTCCCCACGTTCCTACTCCGCTCCATCAAAACTGTCCCGGAGCTGAACATCTCTGCCTGTGTGCTGGGGCTCCCCCACGAGGCCTGGAACTTCGCGAGGATCGTGGAGTTGAACGTGCTGGCCTTCCTCCTGCCGCTGGCTGCCATCGTCTTCTTCAACTACCACATCCTGGCCTCTCTGAGAGTGCAGACAGAGGTCAGCAGGACGAGGCACGGGGGCCCCACGGATGGCAAGACCACGGTGCTCATCCTCGTGCTCGTGGCTACCTTCCTGGTCTGCTGGACCCCTTACCACCTCTTCGCATTCCTAGAATTCCTGTTCCAGGTGCGGGCTGTCCGAGGCTGCTTCTGGGAGAACTTCATCGACCTGGGCCTGCAGTGCGCCAACTTCTTTGCTTTCATCAACAGCTGCCTGAATCCAGTGATTTATGTCTTTGTGGGCCAGCTTTTCAGGACCAAGGTGTGGGAACTTTATAAACAATGCACCCCTAGAAGTCTTACTCCGATGTCCTCATCCCGCAGGAAAGAAATCCTCCAACTTTTCTGGCGGAATTAAACAGCAGTGAGCCAAGATGCTTGGCTTCCTTATCAGTTATTTCTGATGCAATAAATACTATGGTGGTAGGCTGAATAAGGGCCCCCCCAGATAAGCAGGACGTAGTCCCTGGAAACTGTGAATTTATTTTTGGTAATGGAGACTTTGCAGGTGCAATTAAACTAAGGATCTTGCAATAGGGAGATTATCCTGGATTAGCTGGGTGGGCCCAATGTAATCGCAAAGACCTTTATAAAAGGGAAGCAGAAATGGCGGAGTCAGAGAAGGCCATGTGACAACAGAAGCATGAGGTTGGAGCGATGCAAGGAAGGCACCCCCTAGAGGCTGGAAAAGGCAAGGAAATGGATTCTCCTCCGGAGCCTGCGGAAGGAACCAGCCCTGCTCGCATCTTGGCTTTAGTGCAGCGAGATTGATTTGGGATGTCTGTCCTCCAGAGCCATACATAATAAATTTGTGTTGTCTTAAGTCATAAAGTCTGTAGTCATTTGTTACAGCAGCAACAGGAAACTAATACACATTTCCAGTAAGGGTCTCTTCTCACATTTCCACTTGCCTGTCCAAAATTTTCTAGGTTAACTGCTGGGAATACAGAGATGATAAAGCTAAAGATCCTAACCAAAAGGAATTTACATAGATCTAAATAATTATAGTGTCAAAAAAGAAAGTGATAAATCGCATGAGCACGCCACAGATCCTGTACCCTGAGTATTCAGAGGGAAAGAGGATGGGGTCCTGCTGGGGTATCAGGACAGCCGTTGTGAAGGGAGTAAACTGTGAGCTGAGTTTTACACCGTAGAATCTGGATACGTGGAGAGGGAGGAAGTGCTGGTGGAGACATCATCGAGACACACAGGTAGAAAAGTGTGGGTCCCCACGGAAGAATATCTACCGAACACCGAATGCATCGGCTCTCTTCTTGCTACCAGGAGCCCAATGGTGAACCTGGAAAGTCTGCCTTCAAGGAGCTCGTGGCAACAGGGACAACAATTAGGAGAGTGTCACAGGGCGGTTTGGGGAGAACGGAGATGTTCAGAGGATCTACGATGGTCCAGGGCAGGGAGGGAAGCCCAGAGGTGTCCAGTGGGCTGTGAGGGCCTGCTGAAGCTAGAAAGCATGGATTTCTTGTGTGAATGGCTCTAGCGATGCTCAGCAGGCCCCCAAAAGGCAGGAATGACCCTTTGGTCAGTGCTCCAGCCCTGTAGGTTTCCTGGAGAGCAGACTATGGTTTGGACGGCCTGGATTTAGGTCAACAAGCAGGATCCAGTCTGCACACGTGGTTCATTTGGTCCACAGAGTGTTTCAATGTTTTTAAGTTGGTTACCAATATTTAAATTCCACGTGAGAATCCCGTGAATATTTGGAAGCTCTAGCAACTCTGAGTCTGCGTTCGTTCCTTCAGCTGACATTTATCAACCATCTGCTTTGTGCCAGGCACTGTTGCAGGCAGGAGAACACAGCTGGCAGTAACACAGAGGAACATCCGGGTCCTCTTGGAGTTGACCTGCTGCCCACCCCCAGGGCACCAGGACAGCCTATACCCAGGGCAGAGGCTGGAGTCACCCGGCTTGCTCGCCTCCAACGCCAGTGCAATTCCTGAGCTCCCGGAGGGCGGGAGACGGTGAGCAGAGGCCCTGCAGTGAAGCCGCGAGTACAGGCAGGAATCTCAGGCAGGAACAGAGACTCGGAAAGAGAAAATAATGCCCAGTCCTCCTCTGCTGAGAGTGAACTGACCCGAATAGGCCCTATCTCCTCCTTTCTCAGCCCCTGCACTAAACCTGCAGCTCAGAAAAATTCCTTTCTACGGGTTCCTACATTCCAGAAGAGCGTGCTGCCTGAGAAATCAGAGCATTGCTCGTGGCCTGCAGTTCAATGGTAGAGTAAGACCATCACTGGGACCTCTGAGAAGCCAGACGCCTGACGGATGGAATGCACGTAACACTCACCGAGGCCCAGCGCACAGCCCGGCCGCGGGACGGAAACCGCAGACCCCACAGTCAGGACTCTGGTGCCCTTCTCTTGGGAAGGTCAATTATTCATCTGCAGAGGGAGGAACTCCTGCCTTGGTTAACAGGATCAGTGCTGTGGGAGAAGTTACTATTTGTGAGTCCCCCTGGATCTGGCTGGACCCGGAGTATTTCACGCCTGGGTCCAGGCCCGAGCCTCACCTTGTGGGGCTAACGCCTGGAGTGGAAGGATGAGTTAGCAAACGGTCTTCCAGCATCCCTGGCTCCAGCACCCACATGGGCTCCCGCTTTCTCTCTGAGAAGGGCCAAGAAGCTTCTTCTCCAATCCTCCTCCAGCTTGGGGCCTTTCGTGTGAGGCCACGACTGCCCACTGCCTTCCCTCCCAGCATCAGTGGCCCATCCATCATGGGCCCTGAGTGGCGCCAAGTACCCACACAGCCCAGCCTGGGGGATGCCTGGGTGTTGCAATGGACACAGGCAATTTCTTGTTCTCCGGAGATGAATCACGAGCTTGATGAGGAGCAGGTGGGAAGTTTTCTCCCATGAGCTACAAGAGGCTTTAAACATCATCGAAATGAGTGTGTGCCAAACTGGTACAATCCGAATAAAATCTGGAAAGTTCTATCGATGTCAATTTCCCTGCTGTGATATCGTACCATATTTATGCAAGATGTTACCGTTGGAGGAAACTGCATAAAGAGTACAAGGGATCTTTCTGTAAATCAAAGAAAAAGTCTAAAAAAGAAACTAGCAAGTCCAACCCCTCATTTTACAGATAAGGAAAATGAGGCCCAGAGATGGGCAGACACGTGCCCAAGGTCACCCAGTGAGCTGGACTCCTGGTGCAGGGCTCTGCCCAGACCCAGGGATGCCCATGAGGCTGTGAGGTCAGAGAAGAGGCCTGAGTGCCAGGGATCCCACCATGTGAGTCACCTTGATGGTGGCAGATGGTGGCCGGGGTTGGTTCAGGCAGGGAGCAGAGAGCCAGGCCTACTTTCCCGGAGCTTCAGGGGACAGAAATGTATCAGAAGGGTCAGTAGGGGCTCAGCAAGTAGGAGGGGAAGACGCTTCAGGGTTTTAGTTGACAGGGAGCTCAGTGTGCTGTGGCTGTCAAAATAGCTGCTAGGCTCTGGGGCTATATTAATAGGAGTATTACATCTAAAATGAGGGAGGAGATATCCTATTTAGCTTAATAATCAACAGAGTACATGAGGAGTATTGTGTCCAGCTCTTGGGTGATTCAGAAGAAGGGATCAGACTGATGAAGGGACTCAATATCATACCCTCTGTGACACTGTGAGGCCTGACAGGGCTTCCCTGAAGAAGATAAGGCTTGTGGGGAGAGGAGAACAAATGTATTTAGTGTGACCCCAGTAAGACCAAAGGCAAAAACTTCTGGCCCAATCTGAGGAAGAGCTTTCTGATATGCAGAACTGTCCATGATAGCTGTCCCCTGATAGACCTGGAATAACAGTGGGTCTCCTGTCACCAGAGGTGTCCCAGCAAAGTGGCAGGGGACAGGACGTTGCAACGAGGACCCCAGACGCATCTGTAGCACCCCCAGCCTCGAGGAGCTTGCTGCGTGCAGGGGAGGCAGATGAGAAGAGGTCACTCCTCAGGACGAGATGCGTAATCATGGGGTCACATGCACCTGGGAGGGGTCCGAGCAGGAAGGGGGTACAGGGGAGGGAACCCCGACCTGGTCTTGGTGGTAAGTAGGACAATGAGGGTGTTGGCCACCTGCAGCCTTTGCCTCACTCAGGTTCTCAGCTGATGACACCAAGGGCTGGGAGAATTATAGCAAGGCCGAGAGGTCAAAGTCCCCTCTAGGCCACGAGTGTCAGTGGAGACTCTAAACAGGGGAGTGAAGTTTGAGAGCGATCGCTCCACTGGAGTATGGAGGATGGATAGCAGGGTGTATAAGTCACCTGCTGCTGCATAACAAAACGCCCAAAAAACGAACGATTTAAAGCAACCTCCTTAGCTCAGGGTTCTGCAGCCTTGGGCTGGGTTGGCTGAGCGCTTCTCCCGCTGGTCTTGGCTGCGTTGACTAGTGTCTCTGTGATCAGCAGCCAGTCATCCTTGGCTCTGCTTCTGGGGGTTGAGCGGGAGGGTGCAGAGGTGCAGAGCCGACCTCAGATGGAGTTAGAAACCATCGATGGGTTAGGCGTAATGGTGGGAGGCTGGGAGCACCCCAACCCCGACCTCCCAAACTGAGAGCGAATCAGAGCGGCTGATTCGTCCCCTGCTCTGACTACGCTTATCCAGCGTCCAGTACGTGGCAGGCACGGTGCGAGGCACGGGGGTGCAGAGTAAAAGGAGACAGTTTCCTCGCTTCTGAGACTTCACAGGACATGGAAAAGACCCTCTGGGGCAGCCTGCTCATTTTATAGATGGAAAACCTGAGGCCCAGAATGATCCACGCTGTTGCACAAGGACACCATCAGCATGAGATCTGGACCAGGCGCCGGCTCTTCTGCTCTGTTGAGTCCTCCAGCCTGTACACAGGCTCCCGGAAAACGCTTGCTGAGAACGTCTTGTCTTTTGACGGGGGCAGGAGACGCCTCCTCACCCTCAAGAGAAACAGTATTGCTGCTCAGCGATCGTCCCAATTCCCCCGTCCTTCTGGGAAATGGGGGGATTGAATTTCCTCACACCATGCAGGCCAAGGGTGGCCTTCTCATTCCTTTGGCCAATGCGAGGGGACTTGTCTGCCACTTCCAGGCAGAAGCATCTAAGAACACAGTCTCCCATGCTCTCTCTTCCTCTGCTGTGGCAAACCCTGAAGCCTTGTGTTAAGACGGTGGTGTCATTAAAATGTAGAGACCCCATCAGCCTGGAACCCGAGTGACTAGACGAGCAGAGTCCCCTGAAGACCTGCATTAAACATGCAGTGTGTGTGAGAAATCAGCCTTTGTTGGTTTAAGCCACAGAGAGTAAGGGGATGTTTGTTATGGCAGCAGAACCTAGCCTATCCTGACTGATGCACCTGGTTTCAGTGAGGAGGGGCTGCTCCCTAAACGCTGGGCCTCTTGCTCACCCCTGACTTGTCTCTATGGATGAAAAGCGACTTATCTGATTGACCAGCTTCCAAAAGAGAATTGAGCCTGAGGAGCTCAGTTCCTTCCTGCATCCTCGCTCCTGGAGGAGGCCCTGTCTCCAGACTCGGGTCTTCTCTCAGCCATGAGGTAAGCTTAGCGTTCGAGGCTCTGCCCCAGAGTGGGAACTGTCACCATTGCCTGGGCCTGGGTGGGTAAGTCGGCCTGATTCCGGGATTCAGAATTAAGAGGCCCATTGTTGCCACATGCCTCAGTGACGTTGTCCACCTGAGCCCTTCTCAGTAATAAGGATTATGCTGTGGCCCCCAACTGCTGACTCCTGTCTGCCTCATTCAGCTGAGAACTGAGGCAGGAAAACAGGAGTGTCCTCAAACCCCAGCTCCTATCATCTTGCCCATCCCTACTCCAAGGGACTCAAATTCCAAACATCTTGGGCAAAAATATGAGAGCCCAATGGTGGAATGCAAATTTGATTCCCGAGAGAGCTTCACCAAATCCTCAGTAATGTCTTAGCAAGTTTTGACTCCAGGTTTCTTGACCCCTTGGATATTTGAGGCCAGACAGTTCTTGGCTGTGGGGGCTGTCCTAGGCATTGTGGGAGATTGGGCAGCATCCTTGGTCTCTCCTCTAGATGCTAGGAGCAACTGCCCTCCCTCAGATGTGACAGTGAAAAAGGTCTCCAGATATTAGCAACTGTCCCCAGGAGCAAAATCACCCCCACCCCCACCCCCAGCAGAGAACCATAGTTTAGCTGATCTGATCCAGCTGGTCAACAACGGCCTCAAGGAAAGCCTGGTGGTCTGGGCAAACTTCTCGGAGGTGGTGAGACTTGAGCCCCTGAAGGATTGAATAAACAAAGACGAGGGGAGAAGCCATGGTCCTAGGAAAGCATGAGCGAGGTGAGGTTTGGTGGCAGGTGCCCTGGGAGATGGCCACAGCAGGGCAGGACCACACAAACCACAGTTGGACGATTAAGTAGCCAACATGAAAATCACCGAGAACCATCTCCAGCACGCATGGCGCATGCAATAAATGTTTGCTAATATCATTACAGCAGAATCTCTCAAGTCCAAACAGTGACATGAGTTTATAGCAACTCGCCATTATTGATTTTGGCGTCATTCCTGGTGTTTAACAATGATTCCCTCTAACCAACGCCTGAAGCTTCTCCCAGTGTTATTTTCCCTTCCTCATCCTGTGGCCAACCTTGTGAAGGGGCAGGGGAGGGGTGGACTGCGAAAGAGTCAGCAAAGGAAGGGAAGAAGGAGATTCATACACAGTGAACAAAATGTCAACATTTTAAGTAAAGATGGGACCCAACGGGCCCTGGCTGAGAGCCAGGCAACCAAGATGGGCTCCAGGTGCAGGGTCGGCTGCTGTCTTTATTAGAAATGGTGATGTTTTGTTCATCATGGATGTTTTCACATTACTTTTGGTTTTCTAAAAACATTGCAGTAAATTACTGTTTCTCTTGGTTATTGATGTGCCTGTGTCCACCCCTCCTTAAACTTTGTGCACAAAGCAGGTGCCGCACTCGCCTCACGCGAGTCCCAGCCCTGAGTGGTAGGCTTAGGGGGCTGGGGGCTGCATTTCCAGTAGAGGAATGAATCTTGCAGGAAAGCTTAAACAGACTCACCAGAACACAACAAAAGATCTTTATCTGAATATAAAGCACACTTCCCGTATATCATGCCCCAAATATGCCTTATCAACCTCTTGCGAGAACTCCAGCAGGGGCAACTTTCCCAGAACAGCCCCATGTGCGTTACCACCCAGCTCAGTATTTGTTTACAGGGAGAAATTAATCGTGAAATAACATGACATTTTTATTTCTAATTCAAGCATTGTCCTCGGCTAAGACGAAGCTGCCACAGAGAAGCCTCGTGAAAGAGTTGGGAGACTGAGGATTTTTCCAAAGCGTTCCCACGAGCACAGGGTCAGATTTTGCGCAGGCTGGGATGCGCCCCGGGGCTTTGCAGGGCTGACGGCTGAACCAACGTTGCTCAGGAAGAGAGCGGGCGACCCCTGCTGGTGTTGAAGAGGGTTGCTCTTTCCCCAGAAGATTCTGCACAAATTTTCAAAGCAAGCCCTTTAAATGGATTACAACAGACCTGATTCAAAGCGTTAACAGAACGTGGAAATGTGAAAAGGCAGCGATTTCTCTTGAACAGGGTTTTTCAAAGATCTTTTCCTTTTTTAAGTATGAACCTTGCTGGTGGGTACAACTTCTACAAGAGGGCAATTGGCAATAGCCACCCAAACTTTAAATGGGTGCCACATACCATTGACTCGCTGTTTCCCCTTGTGGTGCCCTGTCTAACGGATAAACCACTGTGAAGCCGAGGGGCAGAGAAGCTCCGTGACTCGCCCCGGGGGAATCTTTGGGGTGGACAGTCAGCTAAAATTCCAGTTCAGCAAATAGGACACACAAAGGCAAGAAGACAGCTTTCAACATGAAATCTGGTACAAAGGCTTCTTAAAAAGGGTTTTGACGAAAATAGTATGGTCTGAAGGGGGGAAAAAGAAAGTAAAACTTTAATTCAAACTGAAATGGAGACGAGAGGGAGACATTTATTTGACCTTAGAAGCGTTTATTATAAATGAAAGGAGGATTTCTGAGTACGGGGCCATGACACTGATGCTGACTTTAAAATAGCCTAGTTTGGGGGTTGGGGTGCACTGAACTTGAACAAATGTTCAACGTATTTTGGAGTCACAGCCTTTAGGGCTCCACCACTACAAACAACTGGGCCACATCTGGGGTCACAAAATGCCCACATTAGGGTTTTGGCAGCAGAGTTAGCACTTTGCACTGAGCTTTCCTTTATCTCTCCGTGGAATCTGAATGTACACGAATGTTTTGCCCTCTTCTGAAAGCCTTAGAAATTCTCACTGTAAGGATGTGCTGGTGTTCGTTTTTCTCAACATCCCCAAAACCCAGAAGACTTACCTCCAGCACCTCCTTGACTTCTATTTCCAAATGCTACCCAAGCTGTACCCTTCAAGCCACGTTTCCCCGTAACAGGCCGTCCGAACGTCAGGCTGTAAAGGGAGCCGGCGCCCCCAGCTGTCCCAGTGCTGCCCCATCTGTGCTGACTGCTGGGGAAGCAGGTGTCCGGACGGTGGGGGAGGAGCCAGGCGGGGTCCTCAAAAGCAGGAATTCCACCTCTAAAACCGCTGGGAGGGGTTTCTCTCCTTTCCTCAGCTTGTGAGCCATGACAGGATTCCTCGGGAGCAAAACAAATTGATTTACATCTATAAAGAACAAAGGCAGGCGTGCTGTACTTACTCTGTCTTATTTAGAGTTTGATGTCTGCCCACTGGGTTCTGAGCTCCCCGAGAACAAGGACCATGTCTTTCATCTCTAGCCCAGGGCCTTGCACACAGTAGGCATTCAGAAAACAGTGACAATAATGTCTCTGACATGGTACTTATTATGTGTCAGATGCTGTTCAAAGCACTTTCCATATATTAACTCACGTGATCCCCATAACAACCCTATTATTGTCTCTGTTTTATAGAGGAAACTGAAGCACAGACAGGTTAAGCAACTTCCCCAAGGCGACACAGATAACAAGCAGTGGAGCCTGGGTTCACACCCAGACAGCCTGCCTCTAAAAATCTATTTTCTTAGCTACTATTCCAGTGATTCCCAAACTTTTCTATAAAGTAGAGTCACCTGGGCAGCTTCAGCAATACACCTGAGGGGTCATGATTTAATTGGTCTTGGGTGGGGCCTGGCTTTTGAATTTTTAAAAGATCCTTGGGTGACTCCAATATGCAGATGAGCTTTGAGACCCACCACATTATACTTTCCTGCCTCGTTACCCAGCAAAGGTCCCAGAATTTAATTCATTTGCTCCATGTGGAACTGCTTTCAGGAATATAAACAAACAAGCCGAGGAGAAAAAAAAACCTACCTCTGGTAGTAGCAGAGTATCTCAGAGTGCAACAAATTGTAATTCCAATAGAGCATGTGCTAAGAGTGTGGGTCTGGAGTCAGACACTCCTGGATTCAAATTCTAAATTGTGAGCTGCACGTAGCGAGTCTGGCTACTTTGCTCACCAACCCCAATTTCCTTCCTTCCTAGGCACACAGCAAGACTACATTACCCAGGAGCCCTTGAAGGATCACGTGACAGAATTCTGACCAATAGAAGGGGGGGCAAAAGTGAGAGCTCCTAGGCCTGGCCATAAAAGTGGTCCTCCTCTCTCCCCAGTGCAGTGATCCCCGTGGAGGATTCTGAGGCTCCGGGACAGGAAGAGACACAAGATGGAAGGAGCCTGGGTTCCCCCATCACCACTTGCAGGAGCGCTGCCAGATATTCAGGAGCACCGCCTGGACTTTACATGAATGAGAAACAAACTTCTTTTTGTTAAGCTGCTGGGATTTGGGGGTTTATCTGTCATTAGTGACTAGTGTTCCTTAACTAGTACATTGTGTGGCTTTGGATAGATCACTTAACCTAAGCCTGGGTTTTGTCATCTGCAAAATGAAGAGAACAGTACAAATAAGAGAATGCTTGAGTGCCGGAGCGTTTCCATTTGCCCTCCGGATCCACTCTGCACCGCGCTGAGCCTCCGATGCTGTATGTAAGTTGAGGTCCACCCATGGGAGGCTCCAGCACGAGAGGGGAGGGTAGAAGACCGAGGACGGGGGTTTCTCTGGCCCCCTCTGGCCACTTTGCTCCACCTAAGGCCACAGCTGCTGTCCGCAGCCCTCTCCTCAGCTCCAGGGGCTGTGAGTCACTCTCCCTTTGTCCCTGCAGACCTGCGATGGGCTTAGCACTCCTTCAGCCTCACGGTAGATGGGATGGAGAAGGAGGCGCCCTGTGTTCCCGTCGCCAAGGAGAGCAAAGGGGAGAAATCACCACAACTCACATGGCTGAGGCCCAGAGCTGAAGGTGGAAGAGGCGCCAAGTCTTTCCGTGGCCCAGAGTCAGCCCCAAGGTACATGTGGGTGTCCCTTGGCCCTGACCACCCATGTTAAGTAGTCCCTGCCTTACACCCTCTGCAGTGGCCCGAGTGGCCATGTGCTTCCTCCCAGGGCCCTGGCTGACACTGAGTGTGAATGCCACATTGCTGAGTGCGGAACAGAGGAAGAGTCACATAGTGAATACTCGGCAAATGCGGAATTTTCATTTCATTTCTTATATATTTATGTATTTTATTACTTATTGCTAAAACCAAAAAAACGTGAAATTGCATTGAATAAAGGACATCTTCAAGCACTAATCATGTGATCTTGGGCAAATAACATCCCCTCTCTGGGCTTCATTTTCCTCAGCTGCTAAATGACTAGGTAGGACTAGATGACCACTGGGTTCATTCATTTGTTCGTTCATTCATTCACTCACTCCCCAGTCCCTGATTCTTAATTCTGGGCGAGGCCCTGTGCTAGATACCAGGTGTGCATGTACCCTGCCGGACAATAAATAGGGAAACAAATCCATATGGATTTGTAAAATGAGAAGGGCCGCAAAGGTTTGCTTTAAGGTTTGCCCTAATGGAGAATAAAGGGGTAGGTAGGGTGGCTGGGCCTGTCTGAAAACAGTGACCTTCGAGCTGAGCTGAGGAGGAACCAGGCAGAGCGCTCTGGACGCAGACGGGGGACCGCGGGAGGCCCCCTGGGCACAGCTCTCGCTCCAGGCTGCCCATTGTTCTCACCGGGGAGCTCTTAGCCCAGGGTTTGCACCAGGCGGATTTTGGCACCCAGGGGACATGTGGCCACATCTGGAGACATTTTGGCTTTTACAATTGAGGAAGAGGCTGCTAACTTGCCTCTATCGGGTAAGGCCACGGATGCTGCTAAACCTCCCACAATGCACAGGACTGCCCCCACCATAGAGAATTATCCCGCCCCAAATGTCAAGAGTGCTAAGGCGGAGAGATCCTGATTTAGCCCCATTCTCAGAGTTTGATTTAATTGGTGTTGAGTGGGGCCTGAGCTTCAGCATTAAAAAAAAGTCTCCAGGTGGTCTAACCCCTGCTTACAGGATGTGGCAGAACTGAAGGAGCAGAGTGCCCGGCACCCAGCCAGGCGAGGGGACGGGGCTGGAGATGCCGGTGAAGAGATGGATCAGCAAGTTCATTCTGGCTCAAGTGTTCGAAGAGCCTTTAATCTGAATCTTTCAGCAAAATTCCTTTCTTAGTTTCCTTATCAGTGAAGAGTTTTTACTAATTTAGACAACTGCTCGAGTTCCTCTTATGTAAAGTCCTAGAATGAGCCTGGGCTTCGGGAGTCACACCAAGTGACCTTGAGCAAGTGTCTTGACCTCTCTGAACCTCAGTCTCCTCCTCTGGAAAACAGACACTATACTGAGTGCCTCTCAGAGGGGCCACGAAGTTATATAAAGAACACGCACAGTACCTAGCACACACTCAGTATCTCCCTCTCTTTCACAAAAGCCATGTGTGAAGTGTGACTTGTGCTTTTTCCCTGATTGCTCAAAGTGCACGGTTATACAATGACATCTGTCACATCAAAACCTCCTTTAAAGTATTGTCTTTAAAAATAAGTATTTCTTTTAAATATTCCTTTTATAAGTAAAAACATTCCTCCAAACAGATTTATCAAGTATTTATCTAGGTCCCTAAGACCGAAACTACAAGATGTGTTTGCCACAAGTCTACACTGTGGGGATAAGATAACTAATCTAGGGATTAATATCCCAAAGGGGGGAGGAGGGGCAAGTTTTAACATTATATGCCCTTAACGTCTCAGAAATGTAGCAGGTAGATATAAGGTTTGCGATCAGAAGTTCCAGGAGTGTGGAACACCGTTTTCCAATAACAGGATCTGACACAGCCCTGTCCCCCTCCCCACCAGGAAGTACTTTATCCAGGTTTTTGGAACAGTTCTCGGCGAAAGACAATAGTGTTTCAAGTCAACTCCAAAGAGTAAATATTTTAATTTTCTTCAAGAGTATTTTGTATTCTTAATTTCATAATACTTTAAATAATCAGACTAACAAGTTACAGTTCCACAAAAATACTCATACAGCATCAGTATTCTTAAAGTATTCACACATATCCATGATGAGCTTAATTGGGAAACTTAGCAATGACAGTCAACGTGTACAAGGATGTTCTTTTGACTTGTGGTGACACCAGTTCAATGTCTACAACATGTCAGGAGGGACTAAGCTAAGAGCGAACTCGGGGCCCCTACCAAACTTCGCAGTGACAAAGCAAATAGTCCTGTGTGACCGACAAGCTATACAAACCGTGTAAGACTAAATCCAACTAGAAATTGGGAGCTGCCATTTCATATGTACAAAACGCATGTGGAACAGCAAAGTCAACACATTTTTTACGGGAGGGCTGCTAGTCCAACCACCCGGGGCATTAGAGACATCGGGGAGCCCACATCGCGCTCACAAGTTCTTGGAATCTGCGGAGAGCACTGGTGCTTACGTGAAGCAACGTGTGTGAAACCAAGGGGCCAACAGTTACAGGAGGCGAAAATATCTAACACCTATGTTTTAAAGAACTGCTGACATTGCAAAATATGAATTGTTGAAACTCACTTAAATTTCTCGTCCCAAAAGCAGCCATCATGGTGGTGTGTTAGAATGTCTTTTCTAGCTCTGATTTGCAGGCACTACGATGAAGGGAAAATAGCTCTGATTTAAACTGGCTGACTTGCAACTGTGCATATAAAGTCTATTAAAGGGAACGTGCCCTAGCATGATCCTGAAAATGGTGAGATAAAAATCGGCATTAAAGCACTCGATCATTCTTGTATGAAAAGACTGTATCTTCCAGTAAACAGAAATAAGATTTCTTGGTAATGAAAGAAATCTTTTTTTTTCCTTCATCATCTATACACTATGTAAATATCTTTCCTTTTTAACCTAAGACTCACAAATTTACATTTGATTTCTTCCATTCAATACCAATTGGTATGTCCAGTTGATGCATTTGCAGATACAAAAGAGCATCTTTGTGTTGCACAGTCCCTTACTTTCAAGGAACTTAAAGAACTTCACAGACATTCTCTCTAATGTCTTACGTAGCTCAGGAGGTTGTGAAGGGAAACGGGGATAAGACTGCTCGCTACAGAACACCAGCCCGGCCACACTCCCCACAATCCTCAAGAATTACACCCAGTGCAGGTGTAAGAAAACTGAGGCAAAGTTAAATGATTTCTCTTAAGTCATGTAGCTTTTTACATACACGAAATTTAATGTTAAGACAATTGTTAATGCTGAAACCATTCGGTACCAGTGTGGATTCCTCATTTTAAATTGCTTAACTTCAGCTCCGCCTGCAGTCTGTCCCTCTGGTGAGAGTGCACGGGGTCAGAGAACCTGAATCGAACGACACCCATGGAGACATGCCACCTCTGGATGAGCAGCCCCCGCAGGGCAGACGTGGTTGTGGCTGTTTGGAAACTGAACAGAGGCACTAAACCTACAGAACACAGTAAAAGGAATTCCCTTAACACCTGGAAATACTTTAATAGTATTTAAAAGTGACGTGCGGCAGGAGGCAGGAAACACTGGTTTTTAGTATTTTTGCCATTTTGGGCCCACTGCTACAGGGGCAGATTTTTTTTTCTTAAAGTGAATTTTGCATTATAAAAATAATGATGTTAAATAAATGTGCTTAAGTGGGAATCCAAATTGTACCCAAATTTTGTTAAAGCAAAAGTCTACTGCCACGATGTCTAGAAGAAACAGTGTATCACACAGATCCCAAAGGGCCAATGTGGAGTGGACATTTCACTTGTAGGTAAGAGCGATCTTGGGACAGACGAGAAGGGAAACTGCGGGGTCCAAATCAGCCCGCTTCCAGAGAAGACATCGCCACGGTCTTCACTGCCTTTACATTTGGGATGTAAGGTGGAGCTAACACCCTCCGCTAACACCATGTGCTCCGGATCTGGATCAAGCCTGCTCACCTGACTCCTTGGGGAGATGCCTACACGGACTCACGCAGTAACACCTGGACACGAGCAGTCTACTCCATTCAGAAGCATCACATCAAAAGTCCACCGCGTAGGCACTGTGGCCGTTCAGAAACGCATCCCTCTACGGGATCCAGGACGTAAAGGAGCCACAGCTACCGTGTGCGATGTGAACGGAGAGCTCTCATTCAACAACGCCACCAGTCCGAGGCGTCACAGGTCCGAGGCACTCCACTGAGCATCACGTCCCATACCATTATTCACACACACATACACACACGCACACACGCCTAATCATCTGAAAATCTCGGTGGGGCTTTGTCATAAGAAACTCTTCATTTATGAGGCTTAGAGAAATTAAATGGCTTGGCCAAGTCATCTGCTGGATAAGTTATAGATCTGGCAACCCAAGGATCATGCTTAACACTCTTTGTGCTGTGTTGTTGCAACACAAAAGATATTTTTAAAAAAGAAAAAATTAGGGATATTTAATAATGCAGAAGTATTCAAATATATATAGGTCCTCCACAGAAACACCTCGAGTAAAGAGCATA